CTTATTTTTAATGTAAAAGCACCGAAAAAAAGTGTTCAGAATCACTATCAAGTTTCTCATATTCACCTTGACTTGCTTTTTGATTAGCCTAAGGGCTCTTTAGCAGATAAATATGTATTTCAAGCTAGGAAGAGTATTTATTCTAGAGACAGCACATGTTTCCTGGAAGGACTCCTGCACCTAGAAAACCACTCACATCACCTGGAACTCCAAGTGCTGGTAGAACATTACAGTTCAAAGAGGACAAATGTAAACACACCACTTAAGCTGAAAGTTATGACTTAAATCTTCAAAGGGGTTTGCAGAGATTCACTTGCACAAGCTGATGCTACTGAAAAAGTTCATAAACGACTTGAAATACCAGGTGATAATTTATGGACAGAACCATTAAAAATGTGTCAGCTGCCTTGTCCTCATAGATACCAAACCCACAAAAGAGTAGAATTAAAAATTCTGTTCTCTACTGCCTTAGGACATTGTATTTGTGAAAATCAGCTAGAACAGAAAACCCTTTTATTCAACCAATAATAAGTCAATTTAATGTTACAGCAATAAAAATTAAAACCCCACAGTGCAACAATGGATCTGGATAAAAGTAACTTCCATTTCCCAGCCGCTTGCTTTGCTCACTAAACCTTATTTGGGGTGAATATTTTTCATTTTTCCTTTGTGCTCTTGAACAAAGCACTTCTGCAAGCCATTTTCAATCAATTTCCCACTGAAAATAGGCTAAGGTGTGTTCCTACACTTCCTCTTGATACTATGTGTAAAGCTGAGTAAAACACAAAAGCTGAGAGAAGGCAGATCACACTGGGTGACATAACTGCCCCTTTTTAGCCTTAAAACTCTAAATGGTTATTAGGCTTCCCCATTGAAATTAAACAGTTGCATTTTCCACTTGAGTTTTTTTTCAATTAAAAGACAAGCTGATGGCACAAAACAGGTGGTATATCAGAAAAGGCTCAGCAAAGCAAGTCATGGCTAGAACATGCTGTCTATAATACAACTTCCTCCCACTGCAGTATTTTTAGGTAGGCAAGGATCTGTGAAAATTCGGATTGCACTTTTGTTATTACAGTAATCTCTTCTTCCTAGCAAATTGTTTTCTCTCTTATCCACCAGCAAAAGGGAAGAGCACTTATTTTTCCAGGTGCATCCACCTCATTCTCTCCCACTGATGGGTTTCCACAACATTCATTTAACTGTTAACGTTAAGTAGAAATGGGTTTTTTAGATTTTCTTAGGAAAACTGACTTGTCCAAAATGCAGAGTACAAAAGACACTGACAAATGCCACCTATATCAGAGATGAGTAGAGAAACAGTGCTGGTACTGACTCAGTGCTACCATATCTAGAAATGGAAGTACCAGCTTGAGGACCTGATTTCACGCTGACTGGAGGAAAGAAAGAAAATAATAACTTCAATTTTATACTAGCCTCAACTTAAAGTCATATGGACCAACAAAACTGAAAAACTCTAAAAGATATTGCAAGTGCTTCTCTTCCTACTGCCTTGTCTGAAAAAAGAGGGATCATTCATCCATGCAGACAAGATGATGCATGAAGAGCACTGGTGGTCCAAGGAGTTGAAAGCAGCAGTTGCCTTGTCACCTTGAATCCTTCACAGGTGCCCCAGGCTGAAAGTTTACATGCAAAGGTAGGTGTTTGTCCTGGTCTCTTAAGGTTCATTCCCCAACATGTTGGATACAAAGTCATTTGAATATATATGGTTGATTTTGAACTGACACCTCAATGGTTTTGGACATATCTCGCACTGAAATCAGTAGCACCCCTGTACTCCTGAAAACCCAGACCTTGTCTATAGAACACTCCGATAGTGCTGTACTATGAGAACCAAGTAACTCCTAGGTAGAAAAGGAGAGTTCAAACACAGCTCAGCCTTGATCCCCCTGATTTTTCAGACTCTTGGCATACCTTGAACAGTAAGAATGGAAAACAGAATTAAAACATAATGACTAAGTCCAGAATTAGGACTAGGATCTAGAGCACAAGTGTGGTGAGGAGCGGCTGAGGGACCTGGGGTTGTTGAGCATGGAGCAAAGGAGGCTCAGAGGAGACCTTCTGGCTCTTGGTGACTTCCTGAAAGGAGACTGGAGCCAGGTGTGGGTTGGGTTTTCTCCCAAGGAACAAGCGATAGGACAAGAGGAAATGGCCTCAACTTGTGCCAGGGAAGGTTTAGGTTGGACATGGGGGAAAAATGTCTTCCCTGAAAGGTTTGGCCAGGCCCAGGCCTGTGGAGGACCATTGGGTGGGGCATTGGTTGAGCCCCCACCCCTGGAGGGGTTTTAAAGCCATGGAGAAGTGGTGCTGAGGGACATGGTTCAGTGGTGACCTGGAACTTAGAATCATAGAATCCTTTAGGTTGGAAGAGACCTACAAGATCATCAAGCCTAACCACCAAGCCAACACTGCTAAGTCCTCTGCAAAAACAGAATCAGAATCTGTCAGGGTTGGAAGGGACCACAAGGATCACCCAGTTCCAACCCCTCTGCCATGAGCAGGGACACCTCCCACTAGATCAGGCTGCTCAGAGCCTCATCCAGCCTGGCCTTAAAGACCCCCAGGGATGGGGCCTCAACCACCTCCCTGGGCAACCCATTCCAGGGTCTCACCACTCTCATGGTGAAGAACTTCCTTCTTCCATCCAGTCTGAATCTACCCACTTCCAGCTTTGCCCCATTCCTCCTAGTCCTGTCATGACCCTGTTCTGGGTTAACCGTTGGATTTGATGACGTTAAAGGTCTCTTCCAACCAGAACCATCCTATGATTTATGATTTGGACTTATGGCTCTTGATCGAAGAACTTCTATCTAGAGAAGAAGTTAAATATGGTTGTGCTCCATGATATGTAGGGATTCATGCCTCAGTTTAGAGCAACAAATTGTTATATGTGGTGTAACATCCTGAGTTCAAGTGAAGAATCAGGTCACAACCAGCATTGGGAGCATATATATTTGTTTCCTAGCAGCTGATTCCCATAAGCTTCCATATGGCTTTTAAAATGTATTTCCTAACAATAATGGAAGTTTACAGTTGTTTGACATCCAGCAAAAGTGTAGATTTTATTGGCAAAGACATTGCTATATTTAAATAGGGATTTCTTAACACTGGTTTATTTTTATGTGTAACTATTACATTGCAGGAATCTTTACTCTGTGCTGCCAAACCCTTTCAATGCATGGCCATAAATGAAACAGGCTGGGAGTAAGAGGTTATTACTCCTCTGTGAGGCATAACTACTGACCACACGTCCATTTTAATCCATTGGGCTATAAAATCAAACGAAATCACGGTGAAGACTTTCATCTATTTCACTTTGTTACTGAAGCAGAGTAGAAGCGTATTCACAATCAGTTACCATGTCTCTGCTGGGCAACGCTGATGACCTCCAAAAACAAGGCAATATTTTACACCTTTCAAAATACATTCCTTGCACCAACTTGGTCACTTGGAGTGAACTTTAAAAGTAGTAAGACAGAACTTTAAAGAACTTTAATGCTACACTCTTACCTTTTGTTAAATCCATCACTGGGTATCTACACTTGTTTTTCTCATGCAGTTAAAAGTCACCAAATATTACACAAGGGATGATGGACACAGCCTTTCCTGACTAAAAAATTCACAGTGGATGTCCCAAGCACTCTTAAAGTTTGTTGTCAATTTGCACTTCAGACATTATGGTTGTCTACTTTGTGTTTATTAATCATTTCAGCCATCCTGCCCATTCTCAATTTTGAAAATGCCTGAGCTCATTTTATAGCATCTCAGTTAAGTGTTGTTCTTAGTCTGAGACTGGTGTCTAGAACTCACAGGCAGCGATTCAGAATTTATAGGTTAGTACTTGCTCTGCTTAATACCTTATATTATAGCTATTATTAAAACAAAAAAAGCTCCAAAGTATTAAAAAAAAGAAATCTAAGTATTACCTTCACCAGTTCCGTATAACCAGTCTCCCTTGCTGTCCACCAAGGCTGAGCTTTCAGTCCCTTGACATTGTAGAGAGAGCGCTGCCAAACTGATGCAAAGTGACCTCTTTGGTAGCCAAGCTCATACCACTTGTATGCCTAAAAGATTGCAGTTTTTAACAACCAAATTTAGATCAGTAAACTCCCACAGGAAAAAAGTAACACGCTTTTATGGTAAGATAACAGACTGTCCCTTTGGATGCTGGGGTTATTCTTCTAATGTAATGCAGGAACAACCACTTCAAAGAAAAAACAAACAACAAACCCCCAAAATCCCAACTAACGATCCCAAAATAGATCAGTCAGCCAAGGCTGTTCAATCCAGCATTAGCACAATAATCTTCTCACAACAACTCCCACCAAAGATAGGTCAGTAATGTAGCTGCTATCCTTTAACCTGGGAGATCCAATTTTTTGTCAGCTTGGTCACTCTTGTTTTCTCTGTTTCAGTTCTCTAGTTATGAATTAAACATGACTGACTTCTGCTGCCAGTGGAGATGCTGTGATGATGAAAACGCTGCTGGCTTTGTGGATCAAAACTGTTACTTAATTATCTAACACATACATGCACTCGAGTTTCTTCAAGGATTTGTTGCCGCACCAGAACTGATCATATGGTAGAAACCTACTGAGGTTAATACTAGACTTTTGCTTGCCTTGCTCTCCCTTCCCACAACTTGCATTACCCCTGTATAGCAGCAGAACAAGGTCCTGCAAAGAAAGAAAATGGGATCCTTGGAAAGAAAAGATTTGGCCTGAGTAGCACTGTGATGAACCATATACAAAGAAGGTTCCATCCAGGTGTCTCCCTCCTGTCCAGCAGTGCTGCGACAGCTGCAATATGCTAGAGAATGCACACTCACAAAGGATATGATAGGAAGCTAAGCAGGGAGATAGGAAGATAAGAAGTCTGGAGCAGGACTGAAGAAGGCAGCACTCCTCTGCTTGAACAGAAACCATCGAAAATCTTCTTCGTCATGCACTGAGTCCCTCTCTAGGTAGAAAGCTTGAAATTCATTCCTTCCCAAGCCTGCAAACTATCCAGTTCACCTCCACCTAAGTGTCACCCATCCAAACTTGAACCATGTTCTTCACCCAACCTAATACTTATCTCACTCTACATAAAAGAGCCTCCCTGGTGCTTCCAAGTAAAACTGTCTCCCTACACCTTATCACTGGTAACCTTCCCTGGCTGTACCCACCTCCCTACCAAGGTGTCCTCAAAAAACCCAAACCCCTTCACTTTTCTTTCTAGCAGCAGTACAAAAAATATGGACAAGACAAATACTGTCCCTAGTAGCATCCTGGTATAGTAGTTTAATAGTTTAGACTATTTAATTGTCATTTGTTTTTCAAAGAGGGTCATTTCTCCATTTTTAACTCAGGAGCATGTGACAGTTGTTCATTAATCTATCCACATTTAGCATGAAATCAAGCAAAGCTTTTTGTGATATGAGTCAGTCATGAGAACAGTCTGTGACTTATAAAGACATACAAAGAGCTACTGGAAATTCTTCATGTCATAGATTATTTCTAAAAAAATTCCAGGTGTCATCTCTGAGATTTTCTATTTCAGACACAAGGTAAGAAATGACTTTGGGTTGGTTTGGTGTCAAATTTTTACTTAAGTCTCTATATCATATTTTTTAAGAGTCTGTAAATTTTATTCAAGCTGTTAAAAAATATGCTACTCTGACCTTCATAACTCTCTTGAAGTATGGAGGAAAGACTGCAAGAGACCATTACTTTACAGCATTTATCTGAAGTACAGAAAAGCAGTGGGGATGAACAGAATAACAGCAGACCATAGATAAGCTTTCAACTTTTTTCCCTAGAGCAGCTTTGCAAAGCTGTGCATGGGTCAAAAAAATCATCTATTACCTTTGGGTAACTACACAGTGTATCTTTAAATTTTGATGTTATCTTGGTTAAGTCTCTGAAATGGAATCATTATGATGGATAACTATGTTCCCCAGGATGTTAAGTTGTGATAGCCATGTGATATCAAAAGAACATTTCATTGATATCATGCAATTGAAACAAATCATTTGTTTCAGCCACTGATTGATGAGTATGAATGCTGCTGCTCTTTAAGATCCATCAGCTACAACCACAATGTATGAGAATGTTAATCCTTATCTATTATAAAAAACTGTGCTACGAGGTTGCCTTTGACAGCATGGAGTAGGGTTAGCTTGCCTCACTCGTCTCTTCCAGCCCTGAGTTTCCAAGAGAAACCATTCTTTTCACATGCAGATCTTGGCAGTGGAAAGACTAAATAATGACCACTGTACTATTCAGGACAGCTACAACAGTAAAGCTTTTCTGTTCTGAAAATTAATGGTCTCAGATGCACTCAGCTGATACAGTCTCGTTCTATAATACCTTCTACAGTCCTAATTTATCTTTTTTTTTTTTTTAAAGTCAGTTTATCAAAGTACAGTTGGAAAGGGCATACTCAACGCTGTTTCCCTATCACTTACCAAGGCCACATTCATAATTCCTAATTTAGCTCTCTAATAGATGAATATCTACCTTCAACAAACCTCCAGTGATAGCAATTTCACATGTTCCTTAAATATTGATCTGTTTCCTTGATTAAATCTTGGAAGTTCAGCAAGTCTAGCAAGGTCAGTGAGAAAAATTTAGCTTAATTGTGGACTTCTCAATAAATTTTCAAGTCTCCTCTATGCCAAGATGTTAATACATCATTGATTTAAACTTCTTCTACAGCAGATTTGACCATTAACTCCATAAACATTAACACAATTATCATGGGGATGGGGATGATAGACATTAATTACATCTGTGTGGTATCTTTAGTCAAACATTGTAAGGGGATGCTCTAGGCTCAGTCATTCAACACAGAATAATCCATGGAAGTATAAAGGGATTTTCTTTTGGTTTTCTGTTCATAGGACAGACAGCGTGTGCAAGGAGAAGCTGTGTGTGCATGCACATGTGTGTCTATGTACAGAATGAGGCCAACATTCTCACTGATAAATGAAATTTTAAACTGAAAAAAACTTCATTGGAAGAATATTTTATTGTACTTTCATAGGAGACATTCTAACTTAAAATTACAGATGTTATTTATTATATATTGTTTCATTGTATGTATAGAATATTGTAATAAAGGTTCCGTGATTTACAGAAAAAGAAAATTAACCTGATGAACTAGGCTTATGAAAGATCACTAACATAGGCTTCATTATAGTCCACCTCTGTAGTTTACATAGAAGAACTGCTACCAACCAAGCCAAGATACTCAAGATGTCAGCATTCTTCAGTGGTTTAGGCATCAATATTTCAGACCTGTTACTAGAGGACTGATTAAAAATTAGTTCCATTATACTTTTTTATTATTTTTTTTCTTTTTTTTATGTTGCATATCCAGGAATCTCAGCAGAGTTTTTTGGTTTGGTATTTTAGTACTTTATTTTTCAGTTCATGCCCATAGTAAAGTTCATTACTAGTAAGACACTTGAACAAAAGCCCTTTGCTCCTCTACCATGGCAACAGTGATAATTCACACATTTAAATTTGGCTTTTACATTGATTTTGGTTTTAAATTAGCCAACTGGAAACTCTTCTGGTTTTCTGTCACATACGTTTGCTGTTGTTGGGCATGCAACAGATTTGTTGAACAAATCTTTGCTTTTCTAATCTGTTTGCTACTTTAATTAGAACAAATACCATAACACATTCAGTCCTCTCATGGTCTTCTTTTACCACATACTCATTGGTGCTCAAGGTCACCTTGGGAAAGAAGGGGGGTTTGCAAAACAATGTTACAGCAGACCTACGAGAGGACTTCTACACAATGATATATGTGTAATTGTGTCTTTTTAACTATGGTTAAATTTTTTTTTTCAGTGTTAGGAACAGAAAACAGACTCTAAGAACACTTTCATTTCATTTCTGAAAGATGTTCCATCCCTTGGTTCAAACTGCCCCATTCGGGCTTCAAAAGTTTTGGTTAGTTCTAAAGCAAAGGATGCTAAGAGTTTGTGTTGTCACAATACAAACAATTGTGTCACAATTGTATTGTCACGCCGATGGCAGGGTTTTTTTCTGTTGCTCATATTGACCTCTACATACACATGCCAAGCTGCCACTGCAATGGGCATGTTTTCAACACTGAGACCCAGCTTAAAGGTTTTTCTTGATCCTGCAGTCTGCCTCAGGTTCAGACTTTAAATGAAGAACATGTTAAATGTGTACCTCTTTGTCTCCCATTCTCTGCAAGGCATCACCCAGATGAAAATAAAAGCGTCCATCATCTGTGCCAGGGTGCCCAGACTCTAGTCCCTCCTTAAAAAAAAAAACAAAAAAACAAAAAGGCAAAAGTGTAAGAGAAACTTCAACAGGACTTCTGAAAGACTTCACCTGATTGCTGTGAATTGGCTGCCAACTCTCTGCAAGAGACAGGCTATGAAACTGGGTATAAAACAACCACTGTGGTAACCTGGAACTTTGGTTGAATGAACATAACACTTCAGTGAAAAGCCTTTGAGAGATGTTAACAGTTTTCTGAATGCCATGGCCTCTCCCCTCAGTCTCTCCAAGACAGAGGTGTATTGGGATACGGGCAGTTGCCCCGACCCTGTATCACAAAATGGTTTAGATTGGAAGCCACCTTTCAGACCGAGTCTAAATGTTCACCCAGCACTGCCAGGTCACCACTAATCCAGGTCCCTCAGCACCACATCTCCACAGTTTGAAACCCCTTCAGGGATGGGGCCTGAGCCAGGCCATGACAAGCGTTTCAGGAAAGTAATTTTTCCTAATGTCCAACGTAAACCTCCCTTGGTGCAACTTGAGGCCATTTCCTCTTGTCCTATTGCTTATTCCTTAGGAGAAGAGACTGACCTGACTCCAACCTCCTGTTCGGGAGTTGTTGAGAGCCAGAAGGTTTCCCTTGAGCCTCCCTTCCTCCAGGCTAAAGAATCACAGGTCCCTCAGCTGCTCCTTACAAGACTTGTGCTCTAGACCCTTCCCCAGCTTTGTTGCCCTTCTCTAGCCACACTCCAGCCCCTCAATGTCCTTTTTGTAGTGAGCGTATATATGTATACAGAAGCATTTTAGAAAGATGCATTAGGGTTTTATTTTGTGGTATTTCTTCCCAAACAATCAGAAGTATACACAAACCCTCTCTGGATTTTTCAAGAACCTTAAGTTTTCCAAACTCAACCAAATTAGATCCTCACAGATGCATGCTTAGTGTTAACCACTAATAAAAGAAATCCCTGATGTTTAAGAATTGCTGAGTCTCAATGTACAAGCTTGTTCCAATTCATAGGCAGAGATACAGCAATATAACCCCAAGACGCAGCTGAAACTCTGATTTGTGATTGGTATGCTTCTAGCCTGACATGTTTTATATATTGCAATTTTGGGGGTTTTATTACAGGCAAAATATTTACTGTAGGTGAGAAAAGAACAATACCTTCAGGTAGGGTATGCTTTCTGCTATCTTGTTTTCTGCCTTCAGGATGAAGCCATAATGTACTTTGGCAAAGCCATCGTCCGGAGCCAGGCTCAGAACCTGTTTGAGAGCAAATAAATTAAATACTCATGTTTGGATCCATGCAAATTAACAAACCTGTGCACATATCACTTGGCAGTGATGCAATGACACTCTTGGCTTAGCTGTACTTTCTTCTCTCTTTCTCCAGAAAAATCTACTACAAGCCAAACTCTGAAGTATCACAAATAACAATGATTCCAACTAGAATCTCTGAATTGCATTATTTCTTTGGCATCCATCTTTCTCCACCCTCTCATGAATTACAGCATGCTACATGACAAGATTAACACCGTTCATTAACATTTCAGTTACAGATATCCCAGGTTTGACTGATCTGAAGGAAAGCAGCTGCTTTTGAACACGTCTACAGCACAGTCATGGGAAGCATAGTGTAGAAATACACATTAAATAGTTTAAAGTTACAGAAGTTCATACTGGTTTATGTCTGAGTGATAACCTGACTTAATTTTGTCAGAGAGGAAAATCCACAGGCAAATATCTGGAGATGGATATTTCACAAAGACTGTGCAAAGAGAAAGATTTGTGAGAGCAGGGACAGCTGTAGGCAAGGACCAGTGTGTGTGGGAGTGTTTCAGGGAAAGGAGGTGTGAAGCTGGCTGGTTGAAGCTCTGAAACACAGACCCCCAACATAACTCTGATAAATTAAGTGCATTTTGTCTGCCATTGCCAAAGGGAATGAATGTCTTGATCTACTTTTCAGCTCCATGTTTCCATGAAATATATATTCAATATCATTTGTAGCTCTACACAATATCAATCCCTTGGTCAAGTCAATCTGTTGTTCATCCTCTTCTCTCCTTAAAACAAGGGTGGATGGTCTTATCAGGACAGATCCTTAGTCTGTGAGGATCATCACAAGAGCATTCAGGCAGTGAACTACAGAGGTAGATACCTGATGATTGTCTAGCACAAGCACAAAGCAATGGATAGAACAAGCACAAAGCAATGGATAGACAAGAAATTTCTCTTGCCTACATCCATTTTTCAAAGTTATTAAAATTATAGCTGTGGATAAAATGTCTGCATATATTGTAGCCATTTCTCTCTGCCTTTTCCAGTCACTATCTAACTTAATTTCTCAATTAAAAGAATCAGAAGCAAAGCCAGAACAAGTTCTCTGAGCCCATTTCTTTGCTTTCACAAACTTTATTACATAAAAACTACACCCAAGCAAAACCAGAATCAGCAAAGTGTGGGTATAAAATGTTATGAGTTAAAAATAGCAGCATTTCACTTCTTTTTTGTGGAAAAGAGCTACTTTGAAGGAATAGTGAATTTGAGAATTTATCTGAAGTTCATAATATCCTAGTATGGTTTGGATCAGAAAGTTTTTTTAAAGATTCTCTAGTTCCAACCTCACTGCCATGGGCAGGGACAACTTCCACTAGACCAAGTTGTTCACAGCCCCATCCAACCTGGTCTTGAACACATTCAGGGATAGAGGATACGACATATATTAGTAAAAAGTGAACTGAGCAAGTCAAAGATGAGCTTGTCCCCTAGTATAAGAACACGCTACCACCTCATGCACCTTGTGCCTTTTGACTACAGTATTCTGTGTATAATTATTTTGGTCCAAGAATCTGTACCTGCAGGGTGGAATAAATGACTGACAGAAATAGTTATTAGCCATATAATTCCATTACAGTTCCTTTAACTATAGGATAAAGCTCTCTGATTAATTAAGACAGAAGAGGCTTTTCTGTAACATGGTTCATTTCAACTACGCCGAGTTGCATTAAGGCATGATCTACATTCAGAGCCCTTAAAGAGAACCAAAGAGATACAATCAGCAGAAATTACACTGGAAGTATTTAATGTAAATTGTATTACTCTGTTGCTGTTGCTGCATGCAATATTAATTATGTTTAGAAATAAGTTTTACTAAACTGCTCATAGCCCATTAAATATTAATCATGAATATAGAAATTAACCTCTGGGGCTATCAATGGCTAATTAGCCAGGGCAGAGTACTGTGTTAATGTGGAGATTCTGCTTTTGGTACCTGAGATAGCTCAATCAGAACTGGCTCATGCGTGTCTGTGCAATGCTGCACTGAGCTGTGCAGACTTGCCTCAGCAAGGCAGGCAGAAAAAGTGCTATTAGCAGAGTAACTGGTCTTAGAGAGTTCCCTTCCACTGCATTTCATCATAATCTGCAGATCTTTGAACACAAAAATAGCTCTAAATTCTACCAGGACTACTTTTAACATCATGTTTTCTTTGAAAACAAAAATAGCTCTGAATTCTACTAGCACTACTTTCAACATTATGTTTCCATGTCCCTAAGTGTAATGTTCAAAAGAAAATGCTTTAATATTAGAGGCAAAAGTGAAATCCTTTCCAGCTGGATCCCATTTTCCATCTGTGGTTCACCATAAATCCTGGAAAATACATACTAGAAAAGTGTATTTTGTGTCAGTTAAACAAAACCACCCTATAGTTGAAAGTACAAAACTCTCTTGTTCAGTGTTTAGACACATTGCTTCTGTAGCTAAAAGAAAGAACATACATTTAAGACTTCTGAAATATAAATGTGACTGTAACACTTCAACAGTGGTTAAGACAACAAACTTGGAATGGAAAGCAAGAACTGAATGGAAAATAAGTAAACTAGCTATTAAATCTAAAACAAAGTTTTCTCTCTCTAGGATTCCTTGGGTACCTATTCAGTTCCTTGGAGGTGAGGCAACCTAGAGTTAGTCTGGTCCAAAATGGTCTATGCTGTAACCCCCGTGTAGAAGACCGTGTCTGAAGAGTCCAGCCAATTGTGTGTGATCAGCCCATACCTAACACAGACTGATAACTCCAAAATAAGATCAAAATGTTGCACCAGGAAGCAAAGGAGGACACAGGTACCTTTGCCCCAAGAATCTAGCAGATTCCCAGGACATAGGAAATTCAGGGCCTAGATTCTCCTGCACAGAAGAGTGTTCAGCTACTTGGGAACTTGCCTGAGGAGCAGAAATAAGTACCACATGCACAAGAAGTTAGACAACCGCGAAGAGAAGAATGGGGGGAACCAGCAAAAAGCTGAGCCTTTAGTCAAGCAAGGGCTGTGCTCTCTTGAAGATGTAACCTGAACTCTGCTCTCTCTTCCTAGATGTTCATGCCTCCTGCAGTAAAATCTACTCAAGACGTATGAAGAGTGGCAACTAGCACCTTGGATTCATAAACATTGGAGGCATCTATTGTGTAGCACTGAGTTCATGCTCCTGTCTGTGCTCTTACATTTTTCTGTCAAATGACTGATTTGTCCTATGCTAATGAGAAGAATTTATTCACACTACAAAAATTTCCCAGGTTTTTCAAAAAGCATGGGAAGAAGATGATGTCTTCTGGAGGGCCCCAGAACAACTTTTCACAGTTTGTCCCTCTCTTTACTGACTACACACAGAATGTGAGCTCCTATGGTAGGAGCTCCAAACCATATGCCAATCACTTTCTAAACATGCATTGCAACAGCTGATCAAAGCACTCCAGAGCAGACCATATGGTCCCTACACAATCTGCCCAAGAGCATGTAAGAAACCTCCAGTATAACCAAGCATAAAAGCAGGTACCCATGAGCTTATGCCTGTTTCTTTGGCTATGTTTTCTTTCTTAAAATTTTTCATGTAAATCTTTCCTGAATTATAGGACAGAAAAAAAATTTACATTACTGTGTTGGAATTCACCCTGAGGAATAGCTACAATATGGACAAAACCCATGTGATCTTTTAAAAATAATAAACCAAACTCCTTTTAAAAGATATATATTTTCTGTTCTTTTACAAGGACAGAACATCACTATGATCTACTCTATTTCATTGGTTAGTGAACAGCAAAACAGAGCAGTTACACTAGATAAAGCCTATGGAAGCATGAAAAATAATATATTAAAAGCAGAGCAGTTCTTATTTTGCATATCTGTTCTTAATCAGAGCAGTATTCATTTCTTCTGAAGTATATCACTTCAACATCAAAGTAATTATATGGTAAACTCATTACCTTCTTCCACTTATAGAAAGTCCTGTGATTACTGATACTGAGAAATTCTAACTACTGTATTGTGTGCAGCAAAATACTGGAAAATTGCAGAGGAATATCTTTTCCAAAAAGAGTATGGTTTTGTTTTTTCAAGTTCCTTGCAATTTGAGAAGCAGGTTTGGTTGATATACTCTATCTTTCAAAGCTGATGGTTCCAATCCACTAAGAAATTTTGGCAACAGGCCAAAAATTATCAAACAGGAACATTTTACAAAGAAGCCTACAAATCAGCCAAGCAAACATTATTCTGGCAACATTCTGTGATCTCTGATCAGGTGCTGACAGCTTGTGCTCTACCAGTGCCATCAAGCTCCACCTGTCAGAGGTGGAAGTTAACAGAAGTTAACAGGGTTTCTAGACCACAAGAGCAGAGTGGCCCTTCCTGAAAATGAAGGAACATAAATCCAACAAATTGTCACACTACAAATATCATGGAAGAAACACAGAATTTAGGCTGCCTACAGAAATAATGACAACCCAAAGGTTAAATAGTGAATACTGAACTACTTCATCCCATAGTTACAGTGGTCCTGTAAAAAAGTAGGCTTATTTCTGCTTTCCATGTCTTGCAGAGAAAATTTTTTATACTGTGCATTCCATCTATATGTGTTGTGAATACATTCCAAATCGGGCTACCAGAAGGTATAAGAACTCAAATATTATTAAGCATATGGAAAAAAAAAAAAATCATGCTAAATACAGTGTTTAACAAAAAATTAAAAGCGAGCAATCTTTAGAATGAAAACATGAGTGCAAATAATCTTTTTCCTCGGCTGGGATGGAAACTCACCTCTTCATACACTTTCTTGGCATTGCTGTTATCTCCTATCAACAGGTAGCCAACACCAAGGTCATTCTTGAATGAAGTATCACTGGGAAACAGCTGAACTAATTTCTGCAGGGTAACCAGGGAACCCCTCATGCGACCTAATTTGATTGAACAAGACTTAATTACAACTACAGACAGAAGTAACTGTAGTAAAGAGACTTATACAACATCTAAGAAAACATAAATCAGAGTCAAGTGTTCTACTTTCACTGACGATCTCATGATTGATCAAGCAGAACTTGAAGAAACCTGTGCAGACAGGAGCAGATTCAGCTGCTGGGTTGTCACTGAGGGTGCAGCCATACACGAAATAAATATTTCAGGACATCACTGTGAGTGCACATCATGCAGTGTTGTGGTAGCCTCTAGTGGAGAACCCGTTACAGTGTAGCAGTGACAACATTATTTAAGCTTTGGTTGCTTTTTCACACACAGATGTCAAAGACCTCAACAAAACTTGGTAAACATATCAAAATAAACTTAGTCTGAAGTAATTAAATGTATTTCTAGTCTTAAGCAATGGTCATACTCTTTTTCTGCTGCAAAAATAACCCTGTCTGATATGCTTAAAATCAAGTATGTTCCTTGATTTCCTAGATGAGGTCTTGCTGAGGAACAAATCAAGTTGATATTAAAATCCAACCCATGGGAACAGAACTCTTCTCCTTCAAAATTGACTGTGCCTGATATTCTAAACAGCAGCTCTTGGACATCACAGAACTGAGATCAAACTTTCAGATGTTATCCCCAAGCTCGATTCCATTCTTCTCTGTCTTTGCAGAAAGTTTATTCTGGATATGTTTACTCTGCATATGACACTAATTTCCTCATTTCTTTCAGCTTCAGTAGAAAAAGAAGAACTTTTCTTCTTTCTCGGTCAATACAAAATTGTGACCACCTCCCATGAGAAATTCTCACACCTAGTCCACTCTTGTCTACAGGCACTATTACCAGACAAGCAACTATGTCGACTAGCCTCCCTAGGGAAAAAAAAAAAAAAAAGAATTTTAAAATACTTTTCAGAAGCATTTATGAGATTAGGAACAGAAGTCCTACCAAAAATTCAGTGGAACTGGCACTTTTACATCCTTGGGGATCTTTTATAAGTCTTGCTCATGCAACTTCTATAATTTTTAAACCACCCTCAGATCTTACCAAGAAACTGCTGCCTGTCTGCTTCCCGTTTCAAGCTCAGCTTTATGAGATCTGAAGGGACATTTGGCAGACTAACGACCTCATCATAGGTGTTGATAGCTTTTTGTAGCATCTCATTACTTCTCATTTTCTCAGCTAAGTCATCTTCAGACTAGAAAGAATAACAAAGCCATCATTAGAACACATAATAATCTATTAGCCTTAAAAATAACTTTCTTTTCTTAAAAGGCAAACTATGCAATTGTCAGACTACGGGAATAGTTTTAGAATTGTCTTTAATCTATATATTTTTTGACATAACAATGGAAAACTTGTTTGGTTGTGCTTTATGGTAAGGCAGATCAGAATTAGTTAATTCTTGCATGAGGAAGTTTGCACCTAAAACATTCATTAATGCAGATTTTTAGTTAATATTTGTAGAAGAATTTTTGCCTGTGAAAATAAATGAAACTATTTATTTTAATAATACAGAAGAAGTGTAAATTGCTGCCTATGGATTATTTGTATACTAAGCCTCACACTGGCAGCAATACACAGCTCAAAACAACACCAAGAAGCATTTCTTCCATATCTTCTGACACAAATTTATTTACACTGTCTTAGAAAACTAATTAGGAATTGGCTTTCCTCTTGCATATGTTCATAGAATATTTACCCTAAAACTGTTTAAAATTTGTCCATCCTTAGCTTTTCTTCCTTAAGCTACTTTGAGGATGGGAAATGCCCAACAAGATACTCAAACAGTTATCATCTGATTCTCAGAGATAACTTCAGAAATCAGTTTATAGCATGACTATTGTTCACCAAGTAAAAACTGGTTCAAGGGCCTCATTAATTGTAGAATAGCACAAGTCCCTTCTACAGTGAGGGCTTCACTTTGTTCGTCTTGATTAACATGAGTTCAAGCAGTCTTTTATTACACCTCGTGCAGTGGGACTACCCTACTATTTATGCAAATACATACAAGGATTGTTCTCTCCTGAGACACCCCAACATGGCTCAAAAGTATTCTGAACATCGAGCTTATTTAGTGGGGTTTTTTTGGAGGCAAACACCTGAAACAGGACTCGCTCCACAAGAAAAGCTAATTAAGCCTCCTTGCTTAAGAATTCATGTTCTTTATCCTTTAACACTTGCTCTTTTAAGAACTCCAAATCCCCTTTCCTTTTTCACCCAGTGAAAAAGCAGCATTTAGCCCAGAGCTGAGTGACATGTGGATTGACCCACTGCAGCAAACTGTAGGTAGCAGCCAGGTTCTGCCTGCTGTTCCTGCACTGGGACAGCTTGGATTCCTCTCTTACCATTCATCTGACGGCCTTCATGAGAGCTACATCTTATCTGTGTGTCATTTACAACACTTCCCATTAGACTAAAGTTTGGGAAACTCCCAAAAGTAATTTTTAGCTGAAAGCTCCCAAAGTGATTAGGGAGGGATAGAGGACTGAAACAGATACAATAAGACAGATCACATAATTCTTTATTTCCCTAGGAAACATCCATAAAATTATAAACAGTCTGACATGAGTTTAGAACTCTATTAAGTTTTATTTTATCTTCTGTTAACATTTATTGGTTTTTTTTTTTTTTTTTTTAGTACCTGTGCTTTCCCATATCTTGCTCGAGGACTCTGTGGATATCGATTCACTAGTGCTTCAAATGCCCTTAGAGCTTCTTCAACTTTTCCCTTGAAAGTAGAGATATTTATCAGCAATTCTATGTAATAAAAACAATGAAGAATGCATGACTGAATAACACATTAGTTTCCCCAATTAAAAAAAAAAAAAAAAGCAGATTGAATCAACAACTTTCATTCATATTTTTGTGGCCATTGCCTGCTTGCTTAAGAGAAATTAATTGCCGTTATTTATGAAACAATATTATCTACTTTCCATGATTAAAATGAATAGTTTGGGGTTTATTTTACTCGTGTTCCCTCTGTTGACTGGAAAAACTGCTGAGATGACAATGACCTGTCTCTGTAAAGCTGTGAAGATTCTATTGCTAACAACAAAATCCAGATTGAATGGAAAAGAGAATAGAAAGAAAGTTCTAGAGATATGTGGAAATTTCTTCTCTGCATACCTCACATGATGAACACTATTGATACTATGGATCTTCTAGGGCAAATGCTTTAAGACCCATCCACAGTGTATGGCTGTTTCCTTCAAATATTTTGTATAACATTGTCCCTCAGGACAGCTCACACACACTCTGTGTCTCTTGACTGTTACATAAAAAGTTCACGTGACTATGGTATCCTCATGATCCTCTTCCTTGGAACCATTCCAGGTCAGGTTGGCCGGGGCTCTGAGCAACCTGCTCTAGTTGGAGATGTCCCTGCTGACTGCACAGAGGTTGGAGGAGATGACTTTTAAAGGTCCCTTCCAATCCAAACCATTCTGTGACTGATGCTGATTAAAGAAGTGAGGATGGAAGCTGAGAAGAACCAGCTGCACTGTTAAATATGAGTGAAGTGCTGCTTGGCAAAATTTGGCATCAGATCTTACTGTCACTTCCAACTCTTACAGCTTTATAAATATGAGTGGACTATTATAAACAACTATCTATCTTCAAATATTACATATGTTTGATTTGTTACTAAATTGGGGTTTTTATCTTGTGTTCCAAAAGATAAACTAGGCTCCCAGTGAAGAGTGGCAGGCTGAGGTCAGTGCTCTCTCTGTAGCAGCCCTTCAGCCCCATCACAGTCCTACAAGAACTCTGAGGCTGTGCGGATGGCAACGTGAAGCTAAACCTGCACAGTCAGTCTTCTAAAAATCAAGAATGATCCTACAACTGCAGTGACTAAAAGGGGTTTTGTTGTACTGTGCTGAAAATGGCATATCTGCTCACTCAGCCAGCTAAAACCCAGGGTACAACAAAGACCTGCAGACGTTCTCCGTGTGAGGCATAGCAGAGATTTTACAAGACTTACAGACAAGACTTAAAGTCTCTCATTTTTAATAGTCACATAGTCTTGCTTCACTATTTTCTTTTGCATTTGGAAAAGGAACATCTCTGCAAAGGTCTTGTTTTTTGACACACTTGATGAAATTGAAAGTTATAAGAGAAGATGACTAAAGAGATGTTGTTTGTTGTTGGGTTTGTTTATTTTTCACAGTCAAGTTATTAAGCTCAGAACTACCAAAATTGACTGATGTTAAGGTCTTGATGTCACTGGTGGGAAGCAGGAACACCTGCTCTGTGCTCTTAGCAGCTATATGGGAGCAGAGACACCCACAGGACACACGGAGAATCCCAACAGAAATACCTGCTACAAAGATCTGCACCTAATGCTCACAAAGCATATGGACACTTACCAGAAGATCTGTAAGAACACACAAATTATTGATGTTCTCTGACAGTAGTTGACTTCAGTACTCAAATGGAGAACACAGTGATAAGACAGAACCATGCAACCCTGTTTTATGGGATTAATTTAAGCAGTTTTTTGATGGCAGGAATTCAACAGTTAAATCTTTTCAAAGTTAAAGGTGAGCAAACACACGTGAACAGACACACACTTATGACTTTAAAAAATTTTAAGACAAACTATCCAGCAGAAATGAAATTTTAAAGACAAACATGCACTGAATAGTTAATTTTAAAAGCTAATTTCACAGGAAGGAATCTAAACTCTCCCTATCTAGGTAATATCAGTAATTCTCCCTTTTTCCAAGCTCATTTTTATTTTACTCAGTGAAACATTCAAAACTTACTTTTTTACGTAGTTTTTCTGCAGCATCTAGTTCAGCTTTAATGGTCTTATCAAACTTATTTAAGAGCTTTGGTTTTTTCTTCTTTTTAGCTAGAAGAGATTTAAAAACCACACAGTTCATTACTTCTTATATATTTCACAGCACTTGTCGAGTGCTTGATTTCTGACTTACTGCAATCCCAAACTCCTGTATGGAAGAACAATCTTCAGTCAGTCAAATTGAATGACTTTGCAGTCAACTTTTTGATAAAGCATTTTTCAGCTCAGCTAGTCAAGGATATTTTTTTCAAATGGTTCAACTGACATGGAAGAACAAAGAGAACTGCCATTTTTCTACATTTATATGGTATTATAGAAAATATAATTACCAGGACATATTAGTAGCTTCTACAGTTGTGCCTATGTATGCTTACTTTGTCTAAAGCAGTTACAAGAGCTGACAGTAATTATAGTTCCTCAAGGGACTCAGGACTCAGTTTCCACAGCTTGGTTTCTAAGCTACCACACAGTAGCAGAGGAGCAGCAGTGAGAAGCAAACCAGTCTTGAAGGAAATTGTGTAAAGCAAATCACATTTGAGGCAAATTGAAGCAAATTGTGTTGATTTAGAGAGCAATTTACTCCATAGCGGCTCACTCTTAAACAATGTCTCATTGCATTAAGTATACTAGTTGTTAAAAAAATGCAAATATGCTGCTGAAGGGTATGACAGCAGATAACTGCTCCTCTCCACATGTGCTACAGCTGAACTTTGCTTTTGCACTTCATTAGGGAAAAAAACACACCTTTTCTGACACAAGGAAAAATATACTGGCTGATGCAAGTAACTACTCATTATGTATCCCTGTAATTAGTAGCACATAATTTTGCTTGAATAATGCATTACTGTTTATTTCCTCCCTCTATGGACAGTAAGTTATTAATAGCATGAAAATAAGTAAAATTATTAGTTTAAACAGGGAATGCTGTAAAAGGTTGATCCTTCTTAAAATAGAAGTGACAGATTGTCCAAGGCTTTAGCTACCAAGAAGTTAAGAAGGAAAAATCTGTCTGATATAGAAGAGTTTCCTCCTTTTTCAGGAAATACCAACAAGTACCATACATTACTACATTGGTTTTGCTGCCCTAAGCACTTGTCATTGTACCCTATGACTTTAAGTCAAGCATTTATACTCAAGCATACAGTAATGCACTTCAGAAATGGAGTTCTCATGGAACTGAAATGACTAAAGAGGCAAAAGGGTTGTTAGGTTTTGTGATTGAGGTTTTTTTTCTTTTCTAAAAATATACCAACTCAGTTTTCCAAGAAACCATTGCTATTTTCAAGGCCTGGCTTGTTCAGCATTTGGGGTGGATGAACTCAGAAGCATCAGTCCAAGGAACTGATAAAAGCAGGTGTCCCCAAGGTCTTTTTAGGGTGGTTGAGCTCATAGCTGCTATGTGAAACTGTCATCTATTGCTAGCAGGAAAACTGAGGCATGTCAGTACCTCTGTATACGTGAGCTAGGGAGCTTCCAGCTGGATATCATAGAATTGTTTAGGTTGAAAAAGACCTTTAAGATCATCAGTTCCAACTATTAACTTAATTCTACCAACTCCACTGCTAAACCACATCCCTAAGCACCATATCTATATGACTTTTAAACACATCCAGGGATGGTGATTCAGCGACTTCCCTGGCCAGCCTGTTCCAGGGCTTGATAACCCTTGGTCACCACCAAACACTGGGTTTGCTCCTGCTCTCAAAGTAGGAAGTTGTACTCCAGAAGATGCAATCCACAACTACAACATCAGTTCTCTATTTAAGACTGGCCAGTTACACAAATCCTGTGTATTCAGTAAGACAGAACACTTATTTGTCAGCTGACTTCCAGTATTCACGGAAAGACACAAGGCCTTAAACTCAGTATGCATGGCAAAGGAAGGAAGCTTTCCCACCTACCCAGAGAGTCTTACTGCCTGTGGGATGTCACCTCCACAACACCTCTGAGTTTACAAGAAGATAAAGCAGAATCGGCTCAGAAGAAAAACTGAATTAAAATCTCACAAGTCTGTGGCACAAAGATATAACATCCTTCCATCACACCCGACTTCAGTGATGTATTGGAAGAACCACAGTATGATATATAAAAGAATTATTACCATTTTAATGCTCTACCAGATCTGGACAACAAATCACCCTAGCAGTTGTGTGATTGTGCATTACTTCAGGTACATGGTAAAAATCTGTAAGTCACTGAAGAAAAATTACATGTTTTTTTTCCCCTCTGAAAACACAGAAGTTAAATTCTTTGTATCATTGAATTTAATATATTGGGTCCCATCTGCTAAAAGATTATTACACTAGAAGGAGGCAATGGATAATTTATTAAAATACCCCTGCAGGGAGATAGCAGGCTATCTGCTTCAGAGAGGAATGCTTGATGGCTACACTGAAAGCTCCCTGGTGAATCCTTTAACATATGACTAGAATGGGAGATGAAAACGATTGCTCATTATATAATGTTTACTGTGCTATATTGGTGCCTAGCAGCTGAGTAATATTTATGTTAACAGCTCCTTTCCAGCTTTTCATATTGATGTCCTGCTGGGCTAGAGCTGATCTATAATTGTATTGAAAATGGGAAGAAAATACTTTTTTGTAATGCAGGGCAAAAAGGTCACAGAATCATAGAATTGCTTTGGTTGGAAGGGACCTTTAAGGTCGAGTCTGACCATTGCCCCAGCACTGCCAGGTCACCTCTAACCCATGTCCCTCAGCACCACATCTACACGGCTTTGAAACCCCTCCAGGGATGGGGACTCCACCCCTGCCCTGGACAGCCTGGGACAGGCCTGGACAACCCTTTTAGAAAAGAAATTGTTCCCCATGTCCAACCTAAACCTCCCCTTGAAGAACCTTGAGGTCACTTCCCTTTGTGCTATCGTTTGTTCCTTGGGAGAAGAGCCAGGATTCAGGATGCAGCTTCACCAGTGCCGAGTACAAGGGACGATCACACCTTTAGTTGCAGATGGACTTTCAAATAAGATGCTGGAATTGAGTTCTCTCTACTGTCATTATAATCTTAAAGGAGCAAACCTCGAGGCTTCCTCTGTCGTGCATCTGCTACCACTGGCATGTGAAACAAAGGAGCTAGGACTCTGGTGTTTGGTTATTCACTTCATAAGACACAGGGATTCAAGATAAACCACGGCCTTCACAGCCACCTTGAGGACACATGGTCCCTAGTTTTTGAATTGAAAACTACACCAGAACAATCCTGCTGCCCTGACTGCATGTTGTGCTTGCTAACAGCAGGCAACTTTTAGTTAATTTTTAAATAAAAGCTGTAACTATATAACTGTAGAGGTTATAAATATATAATGATGTCTCCTTGTTTCTTTCCCACATTGGCAAAAGTAGACAAGTAGGAGATGCCATCTCTAAACCTCATCTGAAATGGAAACCTCCTGATGTGACAGTCTCATAGCAGGAGGGAGGCTCCTCGTGCCAGTTCTCAATCTTAAACCTGTCAAAACCTAAGGAAGCCATTTCCAGGGGAGCTTTGTTTTCTACACACCCTTCTATCCCTGCTGTGATACAAATTCAGTAATAACACTCTTGGCAACTTATGGATGGGAGCCTTAAAAGACAATAAGTAGACACTAACGATCATGATCTATTCTAGTTTTCCAATGAATTTCGTGACCTTCTGTTTTACTAATTCCCCTCATCCCCTCTCAAACATTCCAGCCTTCCCAGTCTGAGTTTCAAAGTTTCAATTATGGCTGAAAACCAACCATGTAGATTAGCAGACCAACTACTTTTACCTGGAATTCAAAATTTGCTCAAATAATTGTCCTCCCTCCACATATGAGGCCCATATCATTACCCAGATTAGCTGTTGAAATTGTGCTGCCTCTCGGTGGGTGCTTGAATGAGAATTTGATGATGATGAAACTCTCCTGTCATTGTCCTGTTGTTCGGAAAGCTCGTTAGGTGAGATAGTGTCAGTGATCTACTTGCTTTATGGGCTTCTATAAATGATAACTTACAAGGTATAAAAGCAAGTAACTGCATCTAGACAATTTAAAGCCAGCAGCACTACAATAATTAAAAGATGTTTCTAAAATGTATTGGTAGAACAGGTAAAACCTCTGTAATCAACTTATCAGGGGCAGCAATCAGACAATAAAAACTGAGGCATTTTAGGGACTAATAAAGCTGTGGAAACTAATGACTATAATAAATCTTTAGCTGCAGTTATTCCAGAACAATTTCCCTTGCAGTAAAAAGTATTCTACAGGGTTTTCTGTCTGAAATGACTGTTGTTTGGGTAGATGCTGATCATAAGAAACAATTGCAGAAAGGCAATTATATTTTTGCTATGTATTTCCATCATTCACTTTGTCCTTTTATCCCAAAGTCCTCTGGCTTCATTCAAAGGCTAGAATCAAGCAGACCTTTGACAAGATCAGAAATGAATTTCTTTGTTGATTTTCTGTACAGAATACATGTATTATCATGTCCTATACATTTAGTTCAGCATGGTGTTGTGCAGTAGCTTTGGACTTGGAGGACTACGCTTTTGTGAAATACAGCATTGGTCTTTCTGCCCACAACTCCTGTCTGATGCAGGATACAAATATACAAGTAAATCAATATGCAGTGTGTATGCAAGCTGAGCTTGCAAGGGTGGAACTCAGCCAGTGGAATCAGTGGAATTCTACATACTTTGTGGGCAGCAGGGCAGGGAGGGGATCCTGCCCCTCTGCCCCGCTCTGTGGAGACCCCCCTGCAGTGCTGGGGCAGCTCTGGAGTCCTCAGCACAGCAGAGACAGGGACCTGCTGGAGCGGGGCCAGAGGAGCCCCAGCAATGACCCGAGGGGGGAACCCCTCTGCTGGGAGCCCAGCAGGGGAGAGCTGGGCTGGGGCAGCCTGCAGAGGAGGAGGCTCCAGGGAGACCTTCTTAGGGCCTTTCAGAATCTAACAGAACGTTACTTTCAGACTTACCTTTCTCTGTTTGGCCTGGTTCAGTTTCTTCTTTGCTTTTCCCTAGAATATTAAAAATATAATTTAATTGAAATAAACTTATGTCAGTTTATGATGAAGAAAGAGATACAAAAAACCTACATCTTCTACTCAAAATATGATTGGGACAACATGATTTTTTGTTAAATGTTTATATTTTAAAGTAACCATGGATTACTGAACTATATAGTTACATTAAAGGTCTTTCTCTGTAGATGCTTCAAATATTACATTATTGCTTCTGTCAGAAAATAGTCCATAAACTTTCTCCTTTGGATATTTGGCAGATTTTGGTGATACACACAATACAAGCTATTTGCATGAAAAAATAAACCTTCATTAATTAAAAATTTTTGGGAACAGTAGCTTAATATCTCTATTTGATTAAAATATGAAAACCATTAAAATTAATTGGGAATTTAGGTTTCATTTTCAGAAGCAATTTGGAAGCTCTTGTCTTCCTTCAACTTTTAAAATAATTTAATTCAGGTGTTTCAGAAACATCTGAATGCAAAGGTAAATGTTAACTAAGCACCAGGTCTTCTGTAGCAAAAGACAAAGAACATGCTGTACCAAAATCACGTGTCTGTTGTGAAGGTGGCACATACAAATACAGCTTTGGCCTCTCTGCTTTTTCTCCTCTCCAAATTTTTTTTTATTCTGCCTTTCTCTACAACATTTAAAGCAACTTGCCTAACAATTCTAATGTTATTCTGCTCCATCCTAATGAGCTTCCAATATTTCCTCCCAATAAACTTGAGAGAATATACCAAAAAGAGAGGTCAGTTGGCTTTTTAGTTATTATTCTAACATATATTCTTTAATTTTGAGGAAATTTTATCTATAGAAGAAAAACCACATTTTTGTTAATTTCTAAGTCAGAGACACCTTGTCAGAACGTTCAATTTTCAAAGGTTTTTAAACTCAAAAGCATTATATTGTGAATAAATACACCATATAAAAATGCTGAAAAACTATTCTTTTCCATGGAGAAACTGGGTTATGCCAACACATGCAATCAAACTATTTCACACTGTAATTTCACCCTTTAATACAAGCTGACAACAGGTACAACTGAACTTGCAGACTTTAAGACTGAGTTTTGTATTAACTGGATTATAATATGATAAATTAAATAAACATGGCCATGCTGAATGTCATTCACCTCCTCAATGACATCATAAACGTCCAGATTGTCAGTTAAATGGAAATAATGACAAAAATCTCCAGATTCAGTTACATACTATGGGGTAACTTGGGGAAGGAATATTATTACTAGAACAGGATATTAATGAAAGGGTTGTTCAGAACTTGCTGAAATACAGGCTTTTGGGGGTTTATTTTTTTGTGCATACCACACACTAAATCAACCAATCACACCTCTCTGTACATCAACAGAAATAGCAAATTTTTCAAAGAGCTACAGCACAGTTCCAGATGAGATGCAGAGTGGTTTATATACTCATATTTCTATTATTTTTGCCAGCCCCAAGCACATAACTCACTGCAGGACAGTAAACCATGACACAACACACTGCTGAGCCACCCGTGTTCCCTGTGTCTCTTCCCTTAGCAGCAGCACACTCTCACCTGACCTCTTGCCTCATTCCCTTTTGGTCCCTCAGCCATCCTCTTCCACCCATCTTGGTCATTCATATTCTTTCTGCAACTTCTGTTCCATCACAGGAAGAAAAGGTGTGAGCTCACCACTCTAAAGCCTGTTCCTGTCTCAAATTTCTTGTCCAGCTTCACACTTGTGTATCACTGACAAACTCCTGCAATCTATCACCTGCAGTTCTCAACACTCACTGATGTACCAGCATCAATTCTCCAGATTCTCTCTTAAACTTCTTCCAGGCTGTACTGTGCTAAATCAGCCACCACTGATTTCACCAAAGCCTCTCCAAGGACCTTTAAAGACTCCAGCTTCTCCTTCTAGGTAGCTGCTTTTGAAATTCATCCCCCCTTGACCTTGTTAGCTCTGAAGATCTTGTTTCTCTTGGCACTCCCCACGCTGACCTCAGAATACACTTCAGCATCATACTCAGCACATATTGCTGTCCCCACCTCCCCCCCGATCCCCACCTGACTTTGATGCTGTGAAGGCTTTTAATTATGCTATTTCTGACAAAGATATATATGACAGTATATATATCTGTATATATCATATATAGTAATATATATATATATAACTATACATGACAGTAAATCTTGAGACTATTTTGTCATCAACTTAAACCAACTGTTGCTCAAACAAAAAACTTCCTTAGCTCTTCAAACCACTCTCATCCTTTGCCCATTTTTAATGCTTACAGCAAAACAAATCTAGGGCAAAATGACAGACAAATTTTTTTTCACCAGTCTCTACAGGCTAAGGCTGCTATCACTGTGTTACATATGCACCTGGTATTCCCAAGAAGGTTTCTACTACAAAGAACAAATTTATTTTTCATATTACAATACATCTAAATATTCGTAAGCAGGTACAACAATGACCCAAGTGACAGCTACAAATGTATTTCAGACTTGGTAGATTTTACATGAATTGAAATCAAAACTATAAATGTACAATAAAATTTGTGGTTTGTCTATATCTAATTTTTGAAACATGTAAAATTATACAATGATATTCAGTAAAACCATGACATTTTTCACTATCTTTCCCATATAATAATTTTCTTCTTAGTGACATGTGATGCCTGTTCAATTATTCAGAAGGTGAAAAAGTGACTTAAAATCATTGTAAAACTTTAATATTAAATAAAATTGAGTATCCTACTTTTATTTAAATTTTGCTTTCCTTATTGGTATTTATTCCTGTGAATTTAAAAAAAAAAAACCAATTGCATCCAAGACTTCATAGATTCACTGATATGGCAAGAAGCCATGCAGCAATGTGAAAATATAAGGAGATGTAATCTTTTGACTTTTTCTTTAACTACAATTCTTTATCAAGCACTATTTCATCATCAAAATATGGAGGTGTTGGAAACTGAAAGGGTCAAAATCTTTCTTTTCAAACTACTGCACAGAAACAACACCCTTGCTAGATTTCTCATTTAACCCATAACTGAGAATATTTCTCTGTGAAAGGCAGACATCACACTTCTCCCACACATTAGTGTTTGTTAAAGGGTGATATCTCATTCATTTTAAGTTACAAATAGAAATTATTTATTATTAAATCTTTTATTGGGAAAATTCAGGCCAAACCTCTTGCAGAATAGCTAATACTCCACAAGAAGGAACACAACACAATTAGGGAAGATGCAGACCTCAGAGTAATGCCCATTTCCTTCACTTAGTTTCATCCAGAAATATAAATTATCTCTACTTGCTGTAGCTTTTCCTCCTTGTAAATAATACTTGCAAAGGTGTTTCTAAGCATTCAAAAGTATTACTTCAAAAAATGATATTACTGCTCAGTGGCTGAGGCAAATATTTATCCACGTAGTTAGTATCTACCACATTTTGGACAAAATAATGACACTAGAAAGACAACAATATTCTTCTGTGCTTTATTGCAGCCAAACATTAAAACAGATTAAATATACATTTTATTTTTTTTTCAATAGTCCACTTGACCTTGCTCAGCTTGGCATATTTTTGTAAACATGAAGCACGTAAAATCACATACCCAGTTACAAAATACTTAACATTTGATCACAGCATAGTATACTCTCACAGTCCTATGATTCTACAAAGAGTCTGCCACTGTTATATAAAAAGCCCTCCATTCACCAGTCTAAAATTATTCCCAAGCTTCTTCACAAAATATGGCTTTGTAAAAATTATTGCTCTGCAATTCACAATCACAAGTAATTTCACTAGGATATCCCATCCCAAACCACATCACAGTCTAAAACTATTATTGCTTTCCTGAAAAGTCTAAAGAAATCACTTGGGGAGATCTGTTCGTTGATCAGACCCTCATTCCACTTTCGTGGAGTTTTACTGGAATCCCAGACAAAAAAAGGCAAACATGTACAACGCCCCTGACACTGGAAATATAAGCAACTAAAAACCTGACTCCAAAACAGTGTTACAGAAATTTAAAATCTCTCCATCAACCAAAAGGCAACCCCTGCTAGGGGCACCAAGTTGGATATTCTTCTTAAAAATTCATCTTATTTTATTTCTTCTAATCTCCTGGATCAGGTTTGGCAATTTCCTAAAAAAATCATAGCAATTATTCCTGAGCCAAAAAGGAACATTTGCAAAATGCCAAAGAATAAAATCTGTCTTCCTAATTGTGGAACAGCAGCACAGAACAGGTAAAAAGTACACCTGTTATATTTAAATTCAAAATCGCTCCAAGTCTCAATTTCAGACGTACCATTTACAAGAGCATTTATGATTGAAGGTCTTCAAGTTTGATATCCTATTTTTCTAAAGGTTGAACTTCCAAATATTTTTTTTTTTAAATAAAATGTAAAAGTCAATTATTTACCCAAATTTGACTTTTTCAATAACTCACTGAAATTATTAACTCCAGCTTAGAGATTATTATATTGGTAGGCAAACCAGAAGAGTTTTACTGAACTCAACTTGATTCTGGCAACTCAGCTTTGTTGCAATTTACATTGTACCCCTGCCAGGCTATTATGTAGCTTCTAGACATTTTGCTTTAAAAATCAAATGTGCATAAGTAAAAGAGAGTTCTAATTTAATACAAAGGGTTTCTGAAAAAAAAATCAAGTAATTTAGCCCTTTTATTGGTATGAATTAAACATATGCATTTTGTATCTTGTTAGACTATTTCAAAAATCACCTGAAATTCATGTAGTGTAACTGTTGACATAACATCAGTGCAAAAAAGATCCAAGTCAAACTTCACAGCATAGTGTGTGCCTGATTAGTGTCTTCAGTAAAATGTAGTTAGGCTGTATGCTATATCAGCAGTTATAAAACACTTAAAAATGCATAATAGTACAAGTTTCATTTGACCAAACTGCTCTGTACATACTGTATGAATCCACAACAAAAGATATATATTAAAATCTGAAAAAAAAAGTACTTGCTGCTACATTATAAATAGAGTATTAACAATTGCTTGAACAGCACAAATGAAACGCAGCTCAAAGTTGCTCTGTCACAAACACAGAAGAAAAATAATGAATTCACTAAAACTTGACCAAGAAAAAAAACCCAAAACTTAGACAGGAATGTAAACTAAACATCCAAGTGTTAAAAAAAGCTAACTAAAATGACAGCTGGCTACAACCCATTTACAATATCTTAGTGCTTCTTCCCCAAACCCTGAACTGCTTGGTTATGACATCATAAGATCTATTACAACCATCTGCTCCCCTTTTGTAGCGTATGGTTAGGGCTGGTCCTCCTGATGTAGGGACTTTTCTTTTGAAGCTTTAAGTATCTGAAAAAATAAGGGGAAATCTATATTAAAGGACCAACCAAAACACAACTTATTCTAAAACAAGAACTAAACCCCCAAAACCCTAAAGGCTAAAAAAATGCAACTTTGTAGCAGACTAGTTAATTTGAGGAAGTTATTGTTGCTAAGAGCTATCATAATTAATAGAGACAAAGTTGCTGGATAAGGTGGGACATGTAAACTTTTAAATATTTATCTAAGCAGCCAATTTTTTTCTCAGCATATGGCACTTCATCCACCTTGTAAAGGAAATCTAGGCCATGTCACAAATACATTCAAACCAATTTTATTTTTTTAATTAAAAAAAAGTATCAAGGATGCTAACAATTGGAAAAGAGGAGCCAGGGAATGAGGAAGGGTACAAAGTTAAGTGGAAACTTTTATACACATAAGGGATTTCAACAGTTGGTAAATAAATACAGGGCTATAAAAATGTCAAGGACACAAGATGAAAGAGGAGGGATGGGGGGAACAACCCTTAGATATTTTAAAACTGAACATATACAAGAGAGATCAAAACCCAAATACACAAAGTATCCCCAAAATAGTAATATGTCTTCTTTAAGAAGTGTCTCCAACACACATCACTATCTGTAATTTATGTAAAACAGGAGTAGCCAAAAATCCTAAATCAGCAGTATTTCAACACTAGCCTATTACACCACTCGAGTGCATTAGTCTCCAAAAGTACACTGTGACTGCAGTTAAAATAGCCTACTGCTGGAAAGGAGTATTGGTAATAATTTTAGAATTAAACTTAGAGAATTGGTACCTACAGATACCTAAATATACAGTCACCTAGTCATACTTTTTTTGTGATTAGGGCTAAAGTCATCAAAAACCTTTCAATTTGTACTCCAGCACATTCAAATCCCACACTTGATCTCTTCACCAACAATGTGATCTGAGAATGTTCCTCAGAGCCAAACTCATCCTCTGAACTATCTACTGTTTGCTTTCTCAAACAAATCAGTTCCTGTGCTTCACATAAAATTCAAACACCTGCTCTTAAACTGATATGAACTGAGGCCACTATGCTTCAAAGTTGCATGAATTTATACTAGAGAAGAGCAAGGACTCTACAGTGACATTTTAAAATATCTTTTACACCACCTGAAGTTATGTTTATGACAAGATACTTATACTAATCTTTCATATATGTAAAGAGTACAGATGTATCTAAAGGTGTTCTTCATGGAGAAGAGAGGTCTTGGCTGTCTCTAGTACAATGAACTCTATTATTACTGAAGCAACTGAAATACTCGTTTAAATATCTAATCAATGACCAAAGAGGAAAAGACAACAAAGTCCCCCACACTGAATCCTCCTCCACAGATAATAAAAAAAAAATCCCTGGTAAATATGAATTTCATACTCTAAGAGAAAAATCTAAAATAAAGTTGCCTTCAAATAGAAATTCTCACATTCAAAAGAGGCAGCTAAACATACTTAATTGTAGAAAAAACCCAAATTAATAGTAATAAAGTTTTTATTCCTGGTCAGTAGTTTACTTATGTCCCCTGCTTCTTTCCTCAGTTTTCGGAGATGCTGTATGAATTCTACTTTATGTGCTGAGACACCAAGCTGTTTTCCAACCTACATAGAAAAGTGGTCCATGTTATCTTCTACCTTCAAAACTGTTCCCACAGAGCAACACAAATTACTAAAACACCTTCCAAAAGGATCAAAAATACATACTATTTCAGAGTAAAAATACATGATTTTTAATTCTTATTTTATTTGAAAGTCCACCTAGAATTAAAGGAGTGATCATCCTCCTATACTTAGCACTGGGGAGGCTGCACCTTGAATCTGGTGTTCAGTTTTGGGCTCCTCGCTCCAAAACGGACATTGAGGGGCCGGAGTGTGGCCAGAGAAAGGCACAAAGCTGGGGAAGGGTCTAGAGCACAAGTGTGGTGAGGGCTAAGGGACCTGGGGGTGCTGAGCCTGGAGCAAACAAGGCTGAGGGGAGACCTTCTGGCTCGCCACAACTCCCTGACAGGAGGTTGGAGCCAGGTGAGGGTCAGGCTCTTCTCCCAAGGAACAAGCAACAGGACAAGAGGAAACAACCTCAAGTCGTTCCAGGAGAGGTTTAGGTTGGACATGAGGAACAATTTCTTCCCCTAAAGGGCTGTCCCAGGCTGCCCAGGGCAGTGGTGGAGTCCCCATTCCTGGAGTGATTTCAAAGCCGTGGAGATGTGGTGCTGAGGGGTGTGGTTTAGTGGTGACCTGGCAGTGCTGGGTTAGTGGTTGCCTCAATGATCATACAGGTCCATTCAAACCAAAACGATTCTAAATTGGGCAATCCATTCACTACTGTACAATACAGATAATTTTCTTTCTTGGTGAAGGTAGGAAATGCATTCGCTGCTGAAGACTGAGCCACAAATTACAGCACAAAAAGCCATAGAAGTATGGTCTGCAAAAACAAAAACTGAAATTCTCAACTTGATAATTGAATTCTGAATTTCCTTTTAAAACAGTATGTGTAAGTCAAGAGATCATCTCACAATCCTCCTGTCAATACAACTGACACTGTGCACTGCAATGAACTACCATTGAAATTTTGCAATACTCCTGTAATTGCTTTTTTGTTGTTTTAACTTTAAGCAGCAAAAGTTTTGGAAAGAAAATATCTTTTCATCTTCTACAGTTTCAAAATAAAGCACAGCAAAACAACTGGACACGACCTTTGTTGAATTTCTTGCCTATGCTGCCAAAGGTAACTATGGTTTGTTCCTGCACTGATTATGAACTTTGGTAAAAAATATTTCACATCCATTACGAAACACAACAATTTTAGATAAGACATCTATTAATGAACCCCTACAGCTTCCAACATCTCAACACACCATGAGGCTGGTATGAGAAGCAAGGTAGAAAGACCTCACAGACCACACAGTTAGGTATTGATATGAGCATTTCAAATCACCTCAGTTAAGGTTCAACATGTAAATTAAAGCACGAACTGAACCACATCTCCAACCTCTACTTGGCAACCACAAAGGCCTCCTATGCTTTTTCACATCTCTGGCTACATATGGCATGCCCAAGAGCCAAATGCAAGCTTCCCTTCCCACAAGGAAACACAACACTTCACAGAACTACCTGGGCACCACGCCACATAAGAGCTTCTGCACATTGGAAAGATGAACTAACCCAGCAAGTAGCTCAGGCTCATCAGCACAAACCAGAAATAAGAGTGTCAGGGCTCTTGGGTTGCAGCTTCTGTCATTAACTGCTCAGAGGTACAACTCAAGAGTTTCACTCAACTCAAGTACTTTGTTACCAAAAAAAAAAATCAATGTCTAATAATTAACTCCAAAAGCAGATGAAATGTAACAATATAGTTTTCAAATTTAGAAGCCATTTAGCTACTCTAAAAACAGTTTTGGTAAACTCTACGGTTACTACTGTCAGGCAACAGATAGGAGAGCTGGAAACACTCTTGTTCTTAAAATCAGTCAAGAAAAATGTGATGGCAAGACAAAAAAAGTCCCATTTCCAGATCAGTGCCCCAAAAATGTGCCACAGTCAGACTCTGAGGGATACACAGAGAAGTGATGGGATCACTGCCTGTGATCATTTACTCTGAAAGGAAGTATGCACTGATTTTGAGACCTGAAATTTTTATATTTCCCATTATAGCAAGTGTCCAACTCTGTCTGACATTATTAAATTAAGTTCTAAACTAAAAGTACTAACAGCTTTATTTGGAATAACCCAGTAACTATTACTAGCATTTATCCAGTTTACAAACATTTGGGAAAAAAAAAAGGTTCACTCACCCATTAGATCATCATTTGAATAATCCTCAGCTTGAACAGGCATTTCTGCAAGTCAAAAGCAGACAAACAATTCAAACTGGATGATTCTCTAAGTATTTACAACAAAACTGCATCTTTTCTCTGATGCTCCAAACACTGACCTCTGAAGACAACTCTGTAATAACACTTTTGCAGAAGTGGGATGTAATTTTCCTGAGTTGAATTCTTCCAGGGGAAAGATTAAAACTTAAGCAGGCTAAGGAATAAATTACAGGACCACACAGTTTCAAAAATGATATTTTAAAATTCAGATACTGACACGCAGCTCACCCACAGTTTCACACTATAGTATGGGCTTAGAAAACATTCATATACTTATTATGTTGTCACCTGTAATTGTGAAATATTTTACTTCATAATCCAGTTCTTCTTAACTCCATGTGTATGTTTAAATTAGATGTGTCACTGAGTGCTATTACTAAGGGGCTTGGGCTTGCCAGAAAAGACTGTAACAGCCAGGATGCTGGCTGCAGAAAATAACAAGAATTAAAGAAAGGGAAATAGATTCTCTGACTCAGGAAGCCCATAAATAAAGTGCTCAAAGCTTGGGAGACACTTCACCATGTTTTATTTCTTAGCTGTACCCTTTCCTGAGTTTCCACTACTGACTGGCTGGGGGGAAACAGAACACGCCAAAGAAATTTTCAGCTTCAAATGACCTAATACAGCCCTTTTTAGCCAAGTAAGTTTTTCTGAGCTGGGAGCACTCTCAACTTCTAAAACTGAAGGGTTCTGTAAGCCATTAAAGTATTGTCATGAAAAAACTCAAGATGATTCTAAAAATACAGTTGTGTTTGTCCTTAAAAGAAAAAAGCTGCAGAAAAAGTTATGAACACAGTTTGGCTGAAGCATAGAATTCTATTCTACAATATTTATTATTCTCAATTTTTATTATTTTTTTTTTAAAGTAGCACCAATACAGAATATAACATACAAACCTGATTCCTCTGGTTCTGTGGCCACAACATCTTCTGGATGCTCACTTTCTACTGTTACAAAGAAAATCAGTGTAGAAAGTTACACAGGGTATATTCACAATTCTGGTTTTATTCCCCACCAGCCACTCAGATCGAAACAGCATCAAGCAACAAGAAAGGCTTAAATTGCAGAACAACCAACTAGATTAACTTGAGAGTAGAAAAAAGGTACTGAATGCATTTCACATACAAAAGGTTAGCTCCTTCTTGTTATTGGCTTCCACTCTATTACACAAGAGTGATTTTGATTAATTTGTTGTTTGTGTGAACCAGTAACACCTATTTCCACACTTATTTATGTGTGCGCCCACCGCCCAGCAGCCAATGGATCCTGGGCTGCACCCCGCAGCCTGGGCAGCAGGGCAGGAGGGGATCCTGCCCCTCTGCCCCACTCTGGGGAGACCCCCCTGCAGTGCTGGGGCAGCTCTGGAGTCCTCAGCACAGCAGAGACAGGGACCTGCTGGAGCGGGGCCAGAGGAGCCCCAGCAATGACCCGAGGGGGGAACCCCTCTGCTGGGAGCCCAGCAGGAGAGAGCTGGGCTGGGGCAGCCTGAGAGGAGAAGGCTCCAGGGAGACCTTCTGGTGGCTTTTCAGTGCTTAAAGAGTGCTTATAAGAAAGACGGAAAGACTTTTTACTGAGTTTACTTTTCTTGTAGTGACAGGACAAATGGTGATGGTCTTAAACTGAAAGAAGGCAGATTTAGATTGGATATAAGGAAGACATGTTTTACACTGAGGGTGGTGAGAGCCTGGTCAGGTTGCCCAGAGAAGTGGTTTATGTCCCATCCCTGGAAACATTCCAGGTCAGGTGGGCAGGGCTTTGAGCAACCTCCTCTAGTGAAAGACATCCCTGCCCACAGGAGGCAAGCTGGTTCAGATGATCTTTAAATGTCCCTTCCAAGCCAAACCATTCTGTGGTTCTATATAGCAAGTTTCTCTATTTTTTGTTTTGTAATTATATTAACAACTATAAATAGAAGAAAAAATTAAACTCAAACCTGACAGCTCCTTATCAACATGAGAATCTTCAATAATTTCATCTATAAGAAAAAGCATAAAAAGAAAAAATATATAATGACTATTTTGTTTCTTTCACATCTGATCTCAAAATGCACCTATTTCATCAAAAGGCTTTAAGATCACAATTACAAAATATATGTACCTGGCTCTGTGGCTTCATTCCCCTCCTCTGGAAGGTCCTCAACAGCTAAAAAAACATTCAATTCAGAGCAATAATGAAGTCAAGCTCTCGACTCGAAGTTTATGAAAAACACAGAATAACACAGCTAGCACACAGACATGTTTAACTGTGACCCACAAACTGCTATAAAACAAGAAGGAATTTTGAGGAACTCAAGAGAAAAAAAAGAAATTATGTCTTAAATTTTCTTCCCTGTTTCACTAAAGAACTGCTGTAATCATCAGGTATTTCAAAATTTTACCTTCTGAACACATGTTGTTTGGATTAAGACACAGTAACTTTAAAAATTGAAATTTTAAAGTCTTTCTCAGCATTATCAGTACTCCCCCTTTCATCTTTTGCAGCATCAACTCCATCTGGTAGACATATTAAAAACGAGACTTAAAAAACCCTGAAATACCTATAAACTTCAACTATAAAAATCTTTTTATTTGGATAAACATGCAATTCCTTGGTAAGTCCTACTTTCCTTCCTGAAGGACAATGAGTAAGTTTTTCAACTTAAATGACAGATTCTTCCATCGAAAAATATTATTTCTTTGAATATGGTACCTTTTAACTCATTTCACTGTCCTCTCAAGCTTATGATGACAAATATAGCTGGTATTTCAAGACAACAAAGTATAAAGGACACCTTTAAGATGAATCCTCAGGGATGGTATATTAAAAGAAGGTGCCTCAGTTCACAGTCATAAAACTCAGTTTATCACAACACCGCCTATAGTGTCTCAGCCGTAATTGGCAATATCTTGTGACTGAAGACTACACAGATTACATATATCAATATATACAAACAGCAATACTTAATGATTTTTAACTTGACTAAAACATTTCTCTGATGTTGAAAATATTTTCTATTTCAACAACATTTATTTGAGAGATGCTTCTCCTTCAATTACGTATGAAACAAAGATTTCCTAACATGCTCCATAAACGTGTAGATGTATATATTATATATTAAAACTATACACGTGATGGGATGAGTGTGGAAGTATATACACACCTCCATATACCCACATCTGTATTTGTGTATATATATGTGCGTGTGTATATTTACATGCATGTACACAAGTGTACACAGACACGTGTGTCAAGGTCCACACTTGTTCATCTCCATCTTAAGTCTCCGCCTACTTTTCATGTTTCGGTTCAGAAAGAAAAGAAAAATCAAGTTCCTGGGTGGTTGGTATACATTAAATATCCTAAACACTTGGTTGTTAAGCACCTAGGTAACTTCTTTACTGATACATTCAAAGCTCTTAAAGAATTTCTCTAGTTTTGGGGCTTGAAGAGATACAGACTCCTTACTGGAGACTGTAGTGGAAGTTCTACACAAAATTCAAGTACAAAATGTGAATATAATGCTGAAATTTCAGTATTCCATCTGTGTAGATAGAGATGCTTAAGAAAAATGACAGGAATAAAGCTCTCCTTCTGTACAATTGTTATAATTCACCAATGAGTAAATTCACCCTAATCTTTGAGTGAAGAGCCAGTGCAATTTTTGTAATTCTGAAGAAATAGGCTAAGAACATTCATTATTTTAATTTAGCTCTTTTATCTTATTCCACATATATGCCAAGTATGACAAAGAGGACCAATATGAGAATATAATCTATATGCATCCTCTACATGGTTAAAGAGCAATTGCTCACATATACAAGGAGTTGAAGATTAAAAAGAACAGACAAAAAAACCCTTCAATAAGAGTTTACAAACTAATGTGACTGATATCGAATATTGTCATACCTTGGTCTTCGTTATAATCACCAGGGATTCCATCCTCTGGTTAAAGAAGAAAAAAAAAAAAAACAGCATTAAAATCCATGGAATTTTAAGACTATAAATACATGCAAATAACACAGAGTCAAGTTATTCAGAAGGAAAATAAATATTCAAAACTATAGTATTTTACTGTATCAAAGTTAGCAGGAGGTCAACAAAGGTGAAGATTTCTACAAAATCCTGTAAGAAGAACAGAATCCTATTCTGGCATCACAAGATAGACTTCAAATAAAAAGATAAAGCACTATATCAGGAGGCTTTTATGCAGTTCATCTACAAATTACCTACAATTCAGAATGAAAACACTCATAAATGATTTTTATATATATAGCAAACTTCTATAGCGGAATTTGGGAAACCCCTTATTAAGGGTTCCTTGCTTAAAGATTTTTTTTTTTTAAGATTCTTCTTTCTTCCAGACACTTATCACACTAATTTCAAAGATCTTTGGCAAATGAAAATTACTTTTTATCCATAGAAACACATCTTTGCAATTTATAATACAAACATTCATTGTCCTGGAAATTTAAACCTCAAAGTATTCTGTCCATTTGGCTGACATGAAAGAAAAATAGTAACCATGTAACTCTTTGTATCTATAGCGGAATTTGGGAAACCCCTTATTAAGGGTTCCTTGCTTAAAGATTTTTTTTTTTTAAGATTCTTCTTTCTTCCAGACACTTATCACACTAATTTCAAAGATCTTTGGCAAATGAAAATTACTTTTTATCCATAGAAACACATCTATGCAATTTATAATACAAACATTCATTGTCCTGGAAATTTAAACCTCAAAGTATTCTGTCCATTTGGCTGACATGAAAGAAAAATAGTAACCATGTAACTCTTTGTATTTTTTAGAATGCAAATAAAAATATAGATGGAACAGTTTACTAAAGAACTGATGCCACCTATGAGCTCCAATGTCTTGTTTTTTTGTTGTTTGTTTTTTTTTTTTTTTTTCCCTGTTTTTTTTTCTGTTCTGGTTTGGTTTTTTTTTTTTTTTTGTTTTTTTTTTTTTTTTTCTTTCTTCTTTTTTTCTTTGGTTTGGGGCTAAACTTCAATGACACTTCAATAGAAAGAAATAAGACCTTGGACTGTACCTGTGTAATGTTCCACAGCATCTTCCAGTGTTAGTTCAGATTCACCTGAAATAAAAATATTTAATATTTTGCCTTCTTATCAAGTTTTCATACAACAGCTACATAGCAAAAATGAAGTTAAAAATGTCAGATTTAGCTCAAGAATAACAGAAGCAAACATACTGACTTAATACTACAATGCTTTGACACATCCAGGAGCTACACTGTAAGTCACATAAGATACTAAGTTCATACATACTTGTATTTAGGCTTAAAATCAGGAAGACAAATAGGTCTTTGACAATCCATTGATTAACCTATTAACCTGGAAGATTCCTGACAGAACAAGATCTTTGTGTTATGTACTGGATTCATAGAATTTTGTCTTCACAAATTTAATGGTAACAACTGCAAAAATCAGGCTTATTTGACATGGAAAAAAATGAGAATAAAATTGCAGTGAAACAGTTAACAGGACACATTACTTTGAAGCATGTTTAAGAAAAAGTGTAAGTGATGATATTACAATCTGAAGTCATGATAATTTACTAACCTGGAGCTTCTGGATCACTTACTGTCTTTTCCACATCCACATCATATTCATATGAAGCTGTAAATTAAATAAGAAAAAAATAAAAACTGTTGAAACTGAAAAGATGAAATATTTTTAATACTCTACTATTTTAACTTGCATCCATAATGTGTCTGTCAATAGCTAAATGTAGCTCCTTACTTGAAAATTGGCAAATTAAAACCTTACAAACACTTTCCACATGACAATCTAATGAAGGTGTTGGGCCACTCTCTACTGGTCCTCTGTTATACTTTCTGTATGAAAAAAAAAAAGATTCAAGAGATCTGTCTCCATCACTATTTTTAAGTTGCTCTTCTAGCAGCAATTAGAAAAAGAAAAGATGAAATATTTTTAATACTCTACTATTTTAACTTGCATCCATAATGTGTCTGTCAATAGCTAAATGTAGCTCCTTACTTGAAAACTGGCAAATTAAAACCTTATAAACACTTTCCACACGACAATCTAACGAAAGTGTTGGGCCACTCTCTACTGGTCCTCTGTTATACTTTCTGTATGAAAAAAAAAAGATTCAAGAGATCTGTCTCCATCACTATTTTTAAATTGCTCTTCTAGCAGCAGCAGTTAGAAAAAAATGTAATCTTCCCCTATCCTCAAAGTTCTAGAGTAACTTTTTACTCATGTGCAGGAGGAACACTGGTGATACACAGGAGATAAGAGCCAGAAACCAGACCTTGAGAAATATGTAAATTTGCTTCTGGCATCACTGATTTACAGCAATTTACTTTTTTTGCATTGCCTAGTTAAATATGTGGCTTATTTTCCTCTGTGACTACACTTCTTTGTGTTGTTATTAAAATACTCAGTATGATCCATCTGACAACACATGGTACTGAAGGTAAAGTAACTATCCTTTTACTCTGGAAGCATCACAGCTTGGATTCTAAATTGGGAACAGGAAGTCAGCAATCTCCCACAAAGACAGGAATAAGCAGTTTAGCTGTATCAAACAAAATTATTTTCCTGTCATATTTGGCATCAAAGAGGAGTTTAAAGTCCAGAACTAACAGTGAAACAAAGATAAGAAGCCAAATCCAAACAGAAATCAATGTCTAATGTAAATGGAGGAGGCTACCTGTATGATAAACAAGCATTATCTATCATTTATCTAGAATAAAATACTTATCAGATAACAGGGAAACTGTTGATATCCACCTAATGTCTTCAAAATAGGAAAGATGAGCTAATGCCATTGTACGTGGAATCAAGCACAACTTGATGATGACTACAAGCTAACCGGGTTAGTTCAGGCAAAATTCCAAAAAGCTTTGAAGATGAATTGGGGCATGCAGAAAAACAGCACAAGGATAGGTCAGAGTGAAGTCTCTCCTCAGTGCTGTCTCCTCCTCTGATACTATCAATGGCCATAAAGAAACAAAGAGTCGTGAAGGGAAGTTTTCAGACTGGATGCTTCTGAGAGGTGACAGGTTCCACGTGAGAACACAAGTTTTTGACTAATGCCAAGAGTAACAGGCTAGAAGAACCTTGGCATTGCAGACTCTACAAAAACAGTAATATAAGCAATAAACTCATTCCACTTTCTTAGACTGTACAACCACTGATCCCTTGCCTATCCAGAGTCCAATCATACACAACAGCAATAGGTAGAAAAGTAAAAATTGAGGTTTTTGAGCCAATGAAAGGGAAGTTCCCAAACCTTTGTGCATTCTTTTTAAAAACCATTTGCAATACCAAATAAGAGACAATCAGCTCAAAGTAAAAATATCTAAGACAATCAAGGATAGTTATTTAGAAAAAAAAAATAATCAGAATTATATATTCCTAAACCAGTCTAAACCTTTCTATTCTCCTTTCTCATATCATCTGTTACATTTTGGCTGAAAACCAGTATTACTGACTTTGGAAAACCAAAATTATACCTGGAGATTCATATGGCTCATATGGTTCAGGCTCCATTGCTCCAAGATCATCTGCCACAGCATCAGCATCTGAGAAACAAACATATATTTGCAAATTTTTAAATCAATACCAAAACCTCTGTAACAGAATACTATGTAAGAAGAGTTAAATTTCTATGCAGAAATTCTAAGCTAATTTCTTCTAATGCCAGCAAGATACATATATAGAGAATAAAATCTCTATTTCTGTAATTTATAGTTTAAATTTTTGTTCTCATACATGATAGTGAGAGTATGTATACACACAAACTACACTTATCTGCTCAAAAAAAAGAGATGACTCCACACAAATCTCTGTGTAAATGTAAAGAAAATAAAAAGGCAAAATGAATTTGTTCTAATAGTATCTTTAAAGCTTTCAGGGAAATAGAAGTAGAATTTCTCCTCTATTCCCCTACTTTAACTTGCGCTGCAGATGAATACAAGAGATGGAGAAACAAAGAGGTATAACTGATCCAGACTGAAAAGATTTACACTTCAGTTGTGAAGAAAGAATCACAGGGCACTCCCAGCAATCAAAACTTTTAGATGACATCCATTACAGGAGTTTTTAAAAAAGAAGTATTAATATATACATAGAATTTTCAATAGTGCAGATAAAACATTCAGAAATAGTCTTCCCTAAGTTGGATTTATATCATATGATTCTGCTTTAATATTCTGATTACAAATCATTTTTTTCATTCTGTCAATGCTGTCAGGCAGCACCTTCTTTATGTGAAGTTATGTTCTCAGCAGGACTTGCTCTTCTCTTAAAGACCCACATTGGAAGGAAAGTAGAGTGAGAATAAGTCTGTCTACAAAAGGCTGTGCTTACAAACATGTAAAATTTACTTTATTAAACTAGAAAGTCTAGAAGCAGACTCCATACACGTATCATAAAAGTCCCTCTCTTGGGGAAGATATACATACCTGAAGCCCAGAATAATTTGGCTGGTTGAAAGCAAATAAAGCACTAACTACACAAAAATATAGTTACCTGGATTCCAAAACACATGGCATTAAAGTATCACATTTTTATTATTTTTTAAAAAATATTTATTTGCTAAATAATCCTTGCAGAATTTCTACTGCAAATAGAAATTACGAGTCAAGTTTTCAATGACACATTTCATTCATCTGTTCTTTTTGGCAAAATTTAATTTTAAATACATTTAGTCATTCAGATACCTTTCTGAACTGAGTCTGGTGGCTCATATGCTTCTGGAATTTCGTTCTCTAACTCTCTGAGCAAGTCATCTGTTGTAGGAGCTTCAAAAGTTTCTCCATGTAGTTCTTCCTTCACTTGCCACTGGTCATTTATACTTTCATCTACATCTTCATGTCTCTCTCCTAATCAAAAATACAGACTGTTAGAGAATACAAACTCTTGGTTAAATTCTATTAGCAGCAAATATTCAGTTTCCAGCACATCCTTCATGTTTTTCAACAAGTCCCAAAGGGGCTGGGGAGGGGGACAGATGACTTGTCTGCACCTTCCAGCAGCACAAACCCAGAGCATCTGTGCTGACTAGCCAGGGCTACCTTTGCCCCCAGTAAAAGCCATCTCTTTTTATCCATTCCTGCATTTTACACCGTATTTTGAGGAAATTTGTTGTCAACTGAATGATTGGAGATACTGCTGCCAAACACCTCTGGGTAAGATGGCACAGTTTCAGGATTTGGCGACTCAACTTTCTGAGTTTTCTGGAAAGTAAATTAACTGTTTAGAATGTTTTGCGCAGGCAAAATTACTTTTAGGTTCATACCAGGACCAGCCTCTGAGATTCATCTAGCCTACTTAGCAGTGTTTAGAAATTCTTCAGGGATTTGTGAGTGTTAATGCATTACCAGGCTGGGAATGGAGACTTTCCTGGAGAACAGACTGAATTTCCTCTTCCAACTCTATGTCGGCATTCTTGTGCTCTAAAAGGATTATAAATTGCAGTGGTGGTAAGTGCAAAAGAAAAAGTCTAAACATTAGCTCAAAGCTTTAAGTTTTTGGGAGCCTCCATAAAGTTCTTACTCCTTTCCATAAAATTCAACAGAGCCTGACTTGGAGAAACTCTCCAAATCACACAATTACAAACACAATTTGGTTTTCCTTATTTTCCTACATGGAAAGTATAGCATCAATCACATCAGATTCATTCTGAAGATGAACTGGAAGATTTTACCTATGCATTTTCTGCACATGTATTTTTCTCAGTGGCAGTAACATGAATAACTTCAGACTACACTAACCAAGAATTCTCTTCTAAGCACTAAGATTTCATTAATGCTTCCTTCCATTACTTTCCTACAATTTAGGGAGCAGCACTAGAACATCACGTTGGCAACAAAATGTCACTTGCAAAAGGAGGGCTTGGTTGGCTTTATGAACAGGGAAAATAAATTCTAATATTACAGTATCAAGGTCTTCTAGTAATTTGTAGCAGAATGAATCACAAATGTATTTCATACACAAGTGACTGTCATCTAACACACCAGCCCAGGACATAACAGGAATTTGTAGGAAGTGCTGCCTTCAGATAAATGTCCTGGAATGAACACTAAGAAACCAAACAGCATAACACCATATCTGCATTTTTCAAATAAAAATCCAAAATGGTACCAGTTATGAAAAAAAACCCTAAACACCAAAACCCCAAGCAACAACAAACTTGATATATTTTATGAATGCTAACTTCAGTAAATGCAAGTCTTTTCAAACAAACTCTATATTCCACTTTACTGAACACGTGCTCCACATTTGTGGGTTACTCTGTTAGGTTGACATACACATCAGAAAGGATAAGTCTTTTTAAAGGAACAAGAGAAAAATCTGTGCTCTCAGGATAACACTAAAATGCAAAACATCTAAAATCTGATGTGTAAATATTTTTTCTTGAACTCCTCTTAAACCTAATAAATATTACTATGTGACTTTTAAGATGTTTATATGATTTTTTTTCAACAATAGAAGCTGTATCTATGACATGCTATCGGTTTTACTGGAAAAGCAAATATTTGATTCATCATATGAAGTTAGTTGGGGTGTTTTGGGTTTTGTTTGTTTGTTTTTTAAGGTGGAGTAGCTGTTGTTATTCTGACTGGCTACCCTGTGGTGTATGTATCAAAACCACAACTGTACATGAGCAGAAAGTTATTCTGCTGTGATATGGCTACACACAAATCTAAGACAGATCTATTTGTCTAACTAAAGAAATAAATTTGTATGCTAAGGAAACAGGATCAAAACTGCAATGAAGCAACATGTCTTTTGTTGCACCTATGGTTTACAGAAGGCCTTACCTGACTCAACATAGGGCTTCTCCGCAGGCTGGATGCTCTCCTCAGATTCTGGTGATGCTGGCTGTGCTGGGACAGATCTTTCTTTAAGGCCTGCATTTTTCAGTTACAAAGTTAACTTTATGCTCTTTTGGATGTGACTCAATTATAAACTAAGAAAGCTGTTTCAGTTAAATCAACCAATGTTAAACTCTCCAAAATGTATTCAAACAATCACAATTACAGGGCTGTCCCGATATACAGTGATAAAAAAAGACTAAAGTGTATTCAGATACGAAACATTTTTTGAAGACAAACATAAAACAAAAGGGGGAAAAAAAAGGACAGAAATTTAAGAACTTGTCTTTATTTCAAAGCAACTGAACAAATGACTACGCTATTGTCAACATCTATTCAGTATCCAGAAGGAAAAATAGGCAGCAGGTTTTTCTCTTTGGGCAAAAAGTATTTTGTATGATCAATTTTATACATTTTATAACAAGCTAATTTGAACTTTATAAAACATTGGGCAGAATGAGAACAGGTAATTTACATTAATATGTTAAAACTTAAAAGGCCTGATAAAGAAAACTGTAGCTTCTTCAAAATAATCTCAGTCTCCAGTTTGACAATGAAATTACTACAGGAAAAGTATGACTGATGGAATTTCATCATTAAGATGCTCACTGTCTATACCAATGAGTCTTTCTAGATCAAAACACAATGAAAAGAAAGCAGCCAATAACAGCAGTACTCAAGACCATGGTAAAAGATCAAGGTAACTCACAACCTTGAAAGATCACATCATATCTTAAGACACCATATCCTCAAGAGGAAATTTATTGATATTAACCTAATCACCTATCCTTCAGGAAGGATTCAAGCAAGATTTAAACAAGACAGGTTCAGACAGGGCATTAGAAAACACTCCCACCCCCCATGATGAGGACAGTGAGATCACAGGAAAAGGGTGCACAGAGAGGTTGTGCTTTTGCATCCTCGGAGGTTCTGAAGACCAGCATAACCTGGTTATGCCTCTGAGATGACCCCGTTTCAAGCACGATGTTGAAATCTCCCAAAGTCCTTTCCAAACAGAATTCTCCTATAAGCCTACATAATTTCTCCTAGGTTCATAATAAAGTGTAAGTTCCAAGGTCAATTAAGCTAAAACTGCCTTCTTCAACAAACACACACATGCACATGGCCCAAATCGAACTATTTGTTCCAGAGTTGTATGCACAGAAATCCATACACAAATAATATTTAAGAGAGCAGAGGCCACACTCTAATGAACACTCCTGTACTGCTAACAGTCTTGTGAACATAACTTTATATGGAACAATCTAAGTATTACATTTCAAGTCAGTAAAGTTTTTAAAAAAAGAAATACTACCGCATTACTGGACTCAAAGATATGTCAATACAAATAGGACAAATATGCCTCAAAACAATGCTGTGTAAACTAAAGCAATTTTATTATTTTATGCATTGTGAGAAAAACATTTATTCCATTACCCTATATAAGTAACGGAAACAAATAACAGAATTTATTCTACTTATGCCTTTTTGTATTATTTAAATTACATGAAGACAAGTAGTTAGGCTGTATCTAAAATTATTGTAACTAAGAGTTCACTACTATGGAGTCAAGATTAGAAGCCAGAAGACAAAAGCACCAAGTTTATGCTTCATTTTTTGCCAGTTTTCCTCTGTATCATTAAAACCCCTGAAATACTGAACAATATTATTAAGACTTACTTTCATCTTTTGCTATAGTAATATTAATGGCTACAAGAGGAAGAATTTACTTCTTTCTACATTTTTTAACTATATGGAGACAAACCCACTTATATTAGCTACTGTCACACTGCAGAATCTGAATGTGTGGAAACAGCCACCCTGCTTTCACAAACAGCCCTCTGTAAAGAAATCCTGGCATCCTCCAGGAACAAACATCTCCAATTGCAGCCAACCACTTGCTCTGCTTCACAAACAATAAATGGATTCAAAGTATTTCAGAAATTTGTAATATTTCACAGTTAACAAGCACTTAGGGTGTGTAAAAGAATAATTTTTTTTTTTTTTTTTTTTTTAATTTGTGTGGTGCATTTTTGAGCTTAAGTGGTAACTTGCCATGTGAAGTTGAATAACAAGAATATTTTGTAGAGATACACAACAGCACAGCAGATCTCTGGGGCAAAAAGTCTCATTTTATTGTGTGGGTAGCTTGGAGTGCTGCTTAAATTAAACAAACTTTTGGGGAAAAAAACCCAAACTTTCTTAGAATCAGATAAACTTTAGGTCATAGATACAACAATATTAAAGGCAAACTCATTCCAAATTTCACTCCCAGACAGTTAAAGCTTCTGTCGCATTAAGGGAGAAATAAAAAGGGATGTGCTACCATTCTTGAGAAGTGTGATTGGAGTGCTCCTCTGTCAAATACGTATTTTAACACTTATCAGAGCAAAGATGAACACATCTGTCATCAGCGAAATCTAAAAGAAAATGCTCATTATGCAAGTGCATTGATTAGATCTTCATTCAATCAAGTTTTTTTTTGCTAAGCAGTATAAAGTCTGTAACACAGGTCTTTTCCCTCCTTCATGCAAATATAAATATTTAGAAAATACCTTGGTGTTTCACCCCCGGTAATTATCACAGCTAGAATCTTATGCTAGTGTCTATTTTCTACAGCTTTCATTTCAGCTATTTTCCATAAATTTCCTCCAAAAAACCCAAACCCCAACAAAACAAACCAGATTATATCTTACTCTCTAAACACACCTTAGACCTCTAGGGATCAAAGCATCTTACAGAGACATATATGTGCTGTATCCAAAGCCTGAGATAAGTGTATTGCCAACTGCTACACACAAAATTTAAGCAAAACTACAAAGAGAAGCAATCTCCAGGACTTTAATCTTACATCAACACCACCACCACGCATATACCCATGTTCAATTTAACGCTTTAGTTTTGCTTTCTTTAAAAGAATACTGCAGTATAACAATAAATCTTCAAATTTCATTACAAATTTTGTGCTGAATCTTGAGCAGTTTTATCATGCCATTAATATTTCAATATACTAAACACAAAACTAAACCAGATTTAAAGTATGCTTGAAGTTATTGGCACCAATTTGACATTTCTCTTCGCAATACACATTGTTAGCAAGGCATATTAACTTATGGACACCTTGGAGTTTTTGATAGGTGTTCAAATGTTTTGAGACATTTTTGCTTTGTGTTTACAATGCCAGCACACGCTTAAGCTTTCAAAAAATTATTATATATAGCCTTTGTTCACACTTCTTTCCAGAAAACATTATCTTCTTATTGCCATCTTTACCACATTCATATAAATATGCCGAATTTTTCCACTGTTGAGGTCTGTTCCTCACTAGCAGGCCAGGAAATCTGCTTATTTCTTTTCTTTCTTGTCTTCCTTGGATGGATTTTTAGCTACCTTTTTTGTTTCTTTGTCTTTTCCCACCTGAATAGTACCGTCCTTTTCACTGGCTGATTTTTTGGTAGTCTCCTTGGACTTTACATTTTTGTCTAGGCCTTTTTCCTTTCCTCTGTCTCTTTTAGCCTTGTCAGAATCTTTCTTTAATTTATCCGTATCAACAGTTTTCTTGTCCTTTCGATCAGTAGCATCTTTTCCTTTCTTGGCCTTCTTTTTTTCCTCCTCATCTTTGATTTCCTCCTTCTTGGATTCCTGCTTCTCCCTTAATTTCTTGAGCGGTTCTTTAATAGCTTCTTTTACTTTTTAGTTTTTCATTTAAAAAAGAGGAAATGTTCAATAAGAGACCCATTCGTAGATAAGAAAACATGAATAACCATCTAAAAGCTTTGATCGAATTCATGTCTGTTAGATGCCAGTTGAAACTTGTGTAATTAACTATTTAAGCTTTAAGCACTTCAAACAAATTAGTTTTGACTTTTAGCAATATCTCACACCATGCAGCCAGCCAATAACTTCAGCTTACAGCAACTTCATCCAAATAAAGCATTAATCTAGTGAAAACCACACCTCTATTAGCTTACTGCTAATTAACTTCTGCAGAATGCTAACCCCAGTTTGGTCTGTGAGCATGAAAATCACAGGGAATTGGGAATCTTTGACAACAGAATGACAATTGTAGGATCTAGAAACACTAAGAGCATCATCAAAAAAAAATTTTTTTTTTAACAATTTCTCAACTGCAAATGAAAGTGTTATAAATGTCTACCACAACATTTTACTAATATTGTTAGTTCAGATTCAGCCAAGAGTTAAAAATAAATAAATAAATCACTCTATCTGGAGTATATAGTTTACAAAAATAAGCACACGGTAATTAAGAAGGAACAGCAATGTCTTGGTGAGTTAAATCAACTCCAAAAAAGTTAACTTTGTGTGACCACAGTCAGTGAAGACTAAGTAACATTTGTAAATTCATTCTCCCATCTTTACGTTTCCATATGTAGCATTATTAGCAATACTTTTGTTTGTTTTACTTTTGGAGTTGTAACGCTTGTGCTTATTTTCAGTTCCCGTTCGACTGTGACATGGTATCTAGACAGAACAGTCAGAACAGAATCCTTGACATTTAAATGTTCAAAATTTACTTCCACTTTGCCCACAGTTTTGAAAAAAATCCATTAGCACTGGCAGCATTTTTCAGAATAAAGAATTTTTAACTCAAAATTTAATTTTTTTTCCATTAAATCTCTGTACACATTATTTGTATTTAATCTCAAAATTAATACGCCTACATTATTAAAAAAACAATAAAGATTCTATATCACAAATACAACAGCTCTATTTTTATTCAGGCTTCTGGGAGAAACCACAGCCCTGAAGTAAAAAGCAGGCAAGCAATAACGTTTCTCCTGTACCAACTGCCTCTAAGCACTGTGTGACATCTCCATGGAGTGACCAATTCAACCAGACAGCTCAGTCCAAAAGGAATAATATCAGGTTTCCTTCTTCCAACTTTTTTGGCATAAAGCATTTGAACTATATCATACCATTTCCTCATGCTCATATCAAACATTGAAAAATAATCCAAAACTCAGGAATGAATGGTTAAGTGTCATTTATAACATTCTTGGAAACACACAAGTTGC